CACCCCAACCCCCACCACTGCACCAGAAGTTTTTTAAAGTAAAACAGAAGAGTTTTACTCCCTTATCTACGTTGACTATGTTGACTAATATCCAGGTGTTTTATGGTGTTAAAAGGGGCACTCTACTAATTTTACATACTCAGAGGATAATACTCGGCCTGTCACAAATGGTAAATGGCAAATGGACTGTACTTATATAGCGTCTTTCTAGTCTTTCGACCACTCAATGCGCTGTACACTACATGCCACACTCACCCCATTCACACACATTCACACACTGGTGGCAGTGGCTGCCATGCAAGGTGCCAACTGCTCACCAGAATGGAAACTAAACAGAGTCATACACCGGGAGCAATTGATGATCGGGAGCAATTTTGGGTTCAATAGGGGGGAGCAATTTAGTGAGAGGCTCGAACTGCCAACCTTCCGATTAGTGGACGACCCGCTCTACCTCTGAGCCAAAGCCGCCCCAACAACAGTTGTATAAAGTGCACTGTGTCTCTAGAGGAGTTTGTCAAGTTTGAAAAAATGACTCCTTGGCTTGGACTACACAGAAACTACACATTAATAACATAGTCTGCAATCCAAACTGGGGTTATAGAGTCTTGAATATGTGGGCATTTATTGGCAAGGAGGGCCTAACAAATTGATGGAAAATTTAGGATGCAGCAGTTTTAGGAATTGAACCATATTACTGGGGCTAAAAGTCAGGATATCTCCATAGACTGTATAAAGTATGTAAGCAGTCTATCTGAAATCACCCATAAGTTCCTGAAGAGCAAACCAAACACTGGTTGTAGATGGGGCCTTTTGCATTCTTCATGGCCACCGTAGTTTCTCTTAAAGTTGGGCATTTTAATATGGGGGCTTAAGGAGATTGACTAACTGCTGGAGCCAGCCTCAAGTGGCCGTTAGAGGAGCTGCAGCTTTTGGCACTTCGTGTTGGCTCCATTTGCAGACACAGAAGTTGCCCCTTGCATATTTCATGTTAAAATTTCAACATTCTTTGAAGTCCCCCAACTTAATGGAAGTGAAATGTTGAATTACTGGAGTACTCTTTTGAGCAGCAACAGATAGTGGCAAAATTTATTTTTATTCATGGAGAAAATAAGTGTGTTTCTTCTCTTCAGTTTAGAAAAAAATATGATAATTGACACAAACAGACATCTGTTCATATTTGTGCCTATTTTGTGTTGATTACTGACTGGAGGTCATAAGCAGTAAACAATAAATAAAATGTTTCAGTAGCTGTGTTTCAATCAGCAAATTTTTATGCACATTTTGAAGAATCGCATTAGAAAAGTAAGAAAATTCCTCAGTTTCACAAAAGAGTTAATGAGCTTTGTGTACGATGAAAACATTTGTTTAAGAAGTTCTGACATAATCATTTAATTGGAAGAGTGACTATTGTGACCGGTGGTGTCAGTAATCAAGAAATATCCATCACGTACACAATTCCTGGTACTGCAGCATCAAGTAACATTAGATCACCAATTTACACAGAATATAGCCAAATGGTGAAATTGTTCCAACAAAGAGACAACGTCATCTGCTACCCTGCTGACATTGCAAATGCAGTCTCAGTTGTTTTTATGGTCTCTTCTTAAGTTAGCTTATGTTAGCAAAACGCTAGCTAACTAGCTAGCTAATCTCCATCAATCATTAACCATCAAGTTACGTCTGATAGCTAATGTTAGCAAAACTACACTGAACAAAATTATAAACACAACACTTTTGTTTTTGCCCCCATTCATCACGAGCTGAACTCAAAGATCTAAGACTTTCTCTATGTACACAAAAGGCCTATTTCTCTCAAATATTGTTCACAAATCTGTCAAAATGTGTGTTAGTGAGCACTTCTCCTTTGCCGAGATAATCCATCCACCTCACAGGTGTGGCATATCAAGATGCTGATCAGACAGCATGGGTATTGCACAGGTGTGCCTTAGGCTGGCCACAATAAAAGGCCACTCGAAAATGTGCACACAAATGACTACAGTATAAATGGCATCACTCCAGCTAGACTGCACCACAGTAATCCTAATATTCCCAACACATGCATTAAATGTAATAAGCAGAGGGGGTCCCTGTTTCCTTGCGTGTGGGAGTGCACACAGATAATCTGCTTTTGGGAAAAGGTGCTGGATTTGACCAGTCAGATTGCTGGTAAAAATGTGCCTCATAATCCTAAATATATTTTATTAATAATATTTAGCCTGACGATTTTGTTCCCTCAAACAATGTCAGGTCCTTACTTAATGTCTGTCTCTTGGAGGCTAAATGGTGTATTGCGTGTTCTTGGAAGAAAACAACAATTTGTGGATTTCACAGTGGCTGAGAGGAATGATTTTTCACTTCGCTTTTGAAACGATAAAATATTTCACCAAAAAATGGAAAAATTGGAAAAATTTGAATGTTTTCTACAATTTCCTGGAACATAACAAAACACAAAATAATGGATGGCATGATGAACTGAACTAACTACTAATGGGGCTAGTTTCCTTTAGTTTTCTTTTTGTATGTTGTTATTTTTTCTTTTTTTCTCCCCCTTTGTATAAATTGTAAATTACAAACCATATATTTTGGATTATTATTTTCTTTTTACATTTATTTCTCTTTGTTTATCTTGTTTTTGTTTGATCGTTTTCCACTTAGATTATGTCTGTTTCAGTAATTTACCTTACTGTCTTCCTTATGGTAGGTAGGGAGACCCAGCAGCCTATTCATCCAGACCATGGTATAATGATTTTTTTTTTTTAAAGTTATTTAAAAATAAGCTCAGCTTTTTGTAAATGTAATGTTTGTTTTTGGCTGTTTTTCCAGCATTTCCATGGCATTGTGGATGCATTTAGTCCACAGTATTTGTTGGCAGAGCAAACAAGAGCAGAGCCAAAGTTAAAGGCCCATTTTTTAGACCTTGACCATTTACACCTCAGATTAGTGTGGAAGGTGAGCATTATTTTGATTTATCTTCAAAAGATGAAAGGCACCTTGTAGAGAGCTACTAATGCAATGCAGCAGCTTTTTTATGAGTGGGTCCCCATTTGTTTTATCTTGTGCACGTGCATGAGCATGCACATGCATTTCCTCCAAAGGTGACACCACAGACAGTCCTGCCAAAGGTTTCACACTATTCTACTGACCTGTGCATGTAATGTGCACAAAAATGCAGCAAATGGATGTAGGTTTATCTATACAGGAGTAGCTGCACTGTGTGGAGCACCACGACCCCCTTCTGACATTTGAATAACACACCATTTAGTTTTAGTCATATTTTAGTCATCTGAAATCTTTTAGTCTTAGTCTAGTTTTAGTCGACTAAATATCATAAGAGTTTTAGTCTTAGTCTAGTCTTAAGTCTTTTAGTCTTAGTCTAGTTTTAGTAGACCAAATATTAGCAGATTTTAGTCGACTAAATCACGGTGGTTTATCTGATAAAATAACCTTAGTGTATATGCTAACCTTCACATGTATTTCTGGATGAGTCGTCTGTAAATGTCACTTCAAGTTGGCGGTGTTTTTCCCAGCAAATTTTTGCTCCACACGGTTTACAGACGGTCTTGTTGTCCTTGTTGTCAGATGTGAAGTGTGACCAGATGTCAATTCTTCGTTTTCGTCCTAGACCTAGCTCTGACATTTCTGTTGTTCATGAGACATTGCCCTCGGACCGGGTGCACTGCAAAACGTTAGCGTGTTGCTAACGAGCGAAGTCAACTGAAATCGGCCAAAACTGTGTAACTAAGACTGTGCAACTAAACACAACTAAATATAATGCAAACAACCTAACTGTTGTGAAAACGTCCTCGAAACTGTGCGAAGTTCTGCAAACTCGTCTTTGTTCTCCTCCTGTGTAACTGCTGCTGCGTTTGTTTAGCTGTTGCACCTGCATTTGCCACGACTTTTTTAAATGCCTCTGCTGCTTCTGCATAGATCAACCTACCCTCAAAGATTCGCTCTGATTGGATTTCTTCCCAACTTGTCCCACAAGAAGAGTAGTTCTGATTGGATCTCTTCTCCCTTCGTCCCTCCCTAACATTTCCGTCTCATTTTTATTCGTTGACTTAAGTGTCAGTTATATTTCATCACAGTCTTCGTCATCATGTCTGACTTTTTATTTAGTTTTTATTTAGTTTTCGTCTGTGAAAAAGGTTCGTTGACAAATATTTTTCGTCATAGTCTTCGTCAACGAAATTAACACTGCATTGTAGCCATCATACTGTCTGAGGATAGCAATCACCCTTTGCTTTTCCTTTCAAGTTAGCGACATCTGGATCATGTTGCATTTAAATAAAGTCTGGCTTGTAAATAAAGGTCAAATCTAATCTGGACACCTCTGCTATCTGTCGAGGACACTGAGAGACAGACTGATGACTGGTGGCGGCTGTGGTGCAGAGGCAGGTCGGGTCGTCCCTTAATTGGAAGGTTGTTGGTTCGATCCCCAGCTCCTGGTGCCACATGTCGAAGTATCCTTGAGCGAGATACTCAACCCCGAATTGCTCCCGATGCCGTGCATTGGTGTATGAATGATTAGTTTCTGTTTTTTACCATCGCTGAGTGAATGTGTGTGAAAGGGTGAATGTGCCATGTAGTGTAAAACCGCTTTGAGTGGTCGGAAGACTAGAAAGGCGCTATACAAGTACAGGTCCATTTACCATTTACCATTTACTGACCCTTGCATGTTTCAGCTGCTACCTGTGTGGATTGGTGTCCTTGAAGAAACATCACATTGGTAACACAGCAATGGTCTAAACCCAGGAAAACTGAGAGTTGGCAGATTAAATCAGTTATCATCCATCCCAAGGCAAAGTGTGGGATTATCACATTGTATGTCAGTTTGGTGATGTTGGATGTTTAGCCACATAGATGACACAACACACAATCTCACCAAGTGAGACAGTACAGTTATATTTACTTGAGCATTGTTGAGCGTCCTGATATGCTCTGTTGTGTTGTGTGTAACTCATTGACTGTGAAGTAACTCATCCTCTGGTCATTTGCAGCAGAGGACATTTGCGGCCAGCCCGTTCTCTGAGCCCATCACGGTGAAGCTCCACAGTGGGATGACGCGACAAACTGAGGACCCAGAGATGCTGTGGGTGATGGGTCCAGTGCTGGCTGTCATTCTCATCATCATCATAGTCATTGCTATTCTACTCTTCAAGAGGTGAGTCTGACAGACAAAACAGCACACGTACATTACGATATATTTCCGTGTAGACACCCTGGATATGACAAGGGACTGTAGGACAATTATTAAAGTACGGAGGGGTGCTCACTTTTCACTTTTTAAAAACACACTTTTTAAAAACTTTTTAAAAAACACAAAGCACAAAAACACAAAGCCCTCCCCAGTATTATTCATATTCTCTTTGTTCCTCTCCTTGATTTAGAAAAAAAAACTGCACAACAACAAACCCTCTAATATTGTAAGTGGGTAGCACTGTTGCCTCATGAAAAAAGTATAGTGTTGCTGCGTAATGTTCAGATATTTTTCTTATTACATTACTATGGAAATTGTGATATCCCGTAACACTTTATTTGGATAGTCTGCCTGAAGATAGTTTATGCAGTATTTGTTTCAACATTTCAACAGCTTATTAGTTGAGATTCAACAACCGTTTTGTAATTATTACACCACTGTGTTTAAGGTTTAGGCACACACAAAAAAATTCTGTGTTATGGTTCATGTGCATGAATGGTCATATATACTATACTATATACAATAGATAAATTAGTCTGCATCTACAGACAAAGCAAAACTGCTGAATGTAACAAATAAACTACCTGTAAACAGACTATCTAAATAAAATGTTGCCAAGATTAATGTCAAGTCTGTAAATAGAAAAAAACTGCTATGTAAGTCTAATCCATATCCCAGCATTTATCAGCTGTAAAAACAGTTACACCATCCCACTCATTGTAATTTAAATACCTGTTCAACAGTAGTGTTAGCATAAGAATTATCTTTTTTTGTCATCTGTTATTAAAATAGCTAGTTAAATGAATAGTTTGAGTATACCTTGAAGGCAGTGCATGCTCATTGTGTTCCTCGTATCATCTAGCTGAGTGATCATTTTAGCAAAGTCCAGGGAGAGACCTGGAGCGTTTTCTTCAGCGCAGCAGATGACAAGAACATTTTACAAGAGTCAGGCACCAAGAAATGTTCAGTGTGAAGAGTATTTCAGAGTAGAGACAGACATCCATCTTGGCTGAGCCGAAGGCAAAGGTCCTTCATGGCATATGGGAGGAAGACACTGTGAGTTGCCCCGCAGCCCTCCTCTTCCAGGCTAACAGTTGGCTTGTGCGTCCTGCGCTTGAGTCAAACATCTGGAGCTGCTCACTGGGCTGACGGGGGCTTCCATATGGCTACTACTCTGCTCTGCTCAAACAGCAACACTATCTCATGCCTCCTTTTGCTTTCGTTCTCTCTTGATGTGTCTGAATATTTCTCTGTGATGAGAAATCACTTGATGTTTTGCATCTTTTATTCTTATAAATCAAATATCCATACATTTCTGCCCAACATGTTCCTTAACATGTATTGTAGATTGTTGAAGGTGTGTTCCCTATCTTCCAGGCAGGCAGTAGATTCCATTTATTTCAGTCATGAACTTTTTACCCTCGTCATCCAGCACAACCGCCTCCTTGTGTCTCCAAATTTTATAAAACGTCCCTGAACATATTCCAGGCAGGTATTACGTTGTCACTGCCAGGGGCGGATCTAGATAAATTCATGGGGTGTCCAGAGGGTGGCATGGAAATTTAAAGGGGTGTCAGAAATACATGCTGATTTAATCACAATCATGAAGATCTTTGAACTCAAAACCATTATTATGGCACATTAATAAAACATTGAATAGAAATATCTAAAGGTGGAATTAGAAATCAACACATTGTTTTATTTCCAAATATGTGTCTTTTGTCATTGAATTAAATCCTATCACTTAATCGTAATTTCTAGGACAGGTTTCAGTTATTGTGTCACTGTAATCACTAGCTAAAAAAGCAGCAGTCCAACAGATTTCCCACCAAAAATGACCCAGTTGCATTGAAATAGCGCTAATGGATACAGAATTTCCTTTAGGGTTACAGCGCAATGAAAATGTGTTCACCAACCTGGCTTGGAATAAATTGTTAATATGATACTTAACATAACAATTGTATTTTGCTTAATCTCCTTTATATTTGGTGGTAAATAAGTAAGAGACCTGTCCTAAACTCACTCTGCTTCCACAAATGCATTGAAAGGTTGACATCAGGGGAAGTTTACAGTATAATTGTGGCAAGGCAGAGAAACAGAAATCAATAAAGTGATGCAATTTCACATGCTTACTTTGATCTCTGAGTACAAAGCTCATTTACCTGCAACTGAATCCCTCGATGTTAGAATTCAAGGTGAACTCAATGAACAATGAACAGTAAATAAGTATTTATGATGATTTTGGATCCTCAGACTTGAACAGATGTGTAAAGCGATTAAGGCTTACTGTAGCCGTTTTAAGACGAGATATGGTTGCACCTTGGTGTTTGTAAAGTTTGTGTATCTTTTTGTAGTCCATTCTCTTTCTTTTTATCTTATTGTCTTAATCTCTTATTTTCATACAAGCCCGGACGGATGTTCAAATAAGCATCAGCTATCAACACTAAGATAATGTTTTCAGTCTGTCTGTATGTCAATCTATATTTACCAATCAGTCCCTATCAAATAAACTATAAATAAATAAAGAATGCCGAATTAACTAAATCATGTTGCAGATATGTAAAAAGTCTGCATTCATACTTTGTTGGGTCTATATTTTTAAAATGCTTGTTTTCTGAACGAGTTCGAATTGATCAGGGATATGCTAACTTAGTTCATAGTAAAGTAAAACCAATAATTAGAATCAAGTAAGAGACACATATTTTAATCACTTAACCACTTTTCTCTGAGCAATGTCCTTTTATGTCCAGTCTCTGCATGAATATGAAGTAGTATCATAGAGCTCTGGTGGGGGTGGCACCTGCAAGAGAGAGGAAAAATGCGCTTTTTTATCCAAAATGTTTTTCTGTGTGAGTGCCATTAGACTTATTTAGCTTCTTTAATTGTCTTCAGTTTTCAGTCGCGGTTTGGTTAGGGTTAGGCAACTAAAACTGATTCCAGCTCACTGTGTTTGTCTAAAAAAAATGTAAATCATTATTAATAGATTAATAACACTGCCTATGTGCTCATATTTTTTCATTGGAACTGCACAACAATTAATTTGAAGGATTTGGTATATCAAACTGATAGACATGGCACTTTAAAAAGTAATAAAAGAATATGTGTGGAAGCTGAAATCCTTACCAGCTGGCTGTGGCTCAAACAGAGAGAGCAGGGAGGAGCAGGAGTAGTGAGTAAGGTGCTGTAATGTGCTCTGTCAGGTGCACTTCCTGCTTACTGTGACACTGTGGCATTCCCACTGCTGACAACTTGTAAATGAATCCTTTCTTTCTGCCTCCTTGTTTTCTGTCTGCCTGCATCCTGTGGACGCAGCAAACAAGAAAGGTTAGTACCTCTGTCTGTTCTTACACCACTAACCCCCCCTTCCTTTGTAGCTGTCGGCCTGCCTCTAACAATCCTCCCTGCTGTGTGCAACATGCTTTTGGGTCAGACATGTCTGTGTTTTCTGACAATGATGATGTGAAGTGGCAGATGCTTGTTGTTTCTGTTGCACTTTCACAATCATACCACCATGCCAATTTCTCTGAGCTTCAAGCTTCATCCTCAGACATATCAGCCTCAACTGACAGCACTTGCAAGCATGTGTGTCTCATATGTCAGGGTGTGTGAATATGTTTTTGCACTTTTGTTTCTTTGTGTGTGTTTCCACAAATCCCACTGATCTTCCCCCCAGAATCATCCTTCCGCAGTGCTTTTGTCACCTCTCAACCCCTCACACACCTCCAGCTTCACCTGCAAAACAAACGCCAGGCCTGAATCCAATCCTGATATCACCTAGAGGCAATAACTGACATCACAATGACCTTTTCACTCCTCTATTTGTGTTGCCTGCCTGACCTGCATAATACATATTGACTGTCTTCATAATACATTCAGAATCAGTCATTTGTGTTTTGGTTTGTTATTTTGAAAAGAATGTTGTCTGAACTACATTATCTAATGATAAAAAGTGACTTTTGTTGCCATAACAACCAGCAGCAGTCACTGCTATATAACTATAGTGAAACATTCACTCAGTAGCACTTTTTTCTCATTGTAACTTATTATTTTAGTCAAACTTTATTGAAACTAAATTCCCCCTCAGAACTCAGTGTTTCTTCTTGTTCCTACACTGTGATGTTTGAATGCTGTATGTACAGAGTTTGACTCTAGAAGGATGTTTTCACATTCATCTACTGAAAGTGGAAAGTTTCTCTGTGCTCATTGAAAAACTGATTTTTAAGGGGCGGGGCCTACCAGCATGATTTGTGACATCACAAATAGTTAGGAAGTCAGTCCTGGTCCAGTATGCAACTTGTACAGTGTGATGTAGAAACCTGAAGCCACCAGTTCACATCCACTGAGAATGGACTTTACAATGAAGAACGAGACATCTTGTGTCCAGCAGGAAAACTTTAGAAATGAACAACATTTGCATATTCAGATTCTGAAAGTTATAATCAGCTAGGAGAAGTAGATGACTTTTTAAAGATTTTAATGTGGACATTTTTTGTGTGGGAGAACCATATCGGACACATTATTGTTCCAGACTATGTGTGTATATACATCAGTCAGCCATAACATTATGACCACCTGCCTAATATTGTGTAGGTCCCCCTTTGCCACCAAAACAGCCCTGACCCATCGAGGCATGGACTCCACTAGACCTCTGAAGGTGTACTGTGGTATCCAGCACCAACACGTTAGCACCAGATCCTTTAAGTCCTGTAAGTTTTGAGGTGGGGCATCCATGGATCGGACTTGTTGATCGGAAATGCAGCACACTTAGGCAGGCAGACAGTCGGTAATGACCTTTATTTTCAGCCCGTGGAACAAACAAAGCAAGCAAGCAGCAAATGATATCGTTAAATTCTGGCTTCAGGCTGTGAACACTCAGAGTCTCTTGCAGGAGTCGGGGAGTCGACTCAGCCGAGCCAAACCGGACCTCCCGTGTGTATAGTTCAGATGAGGGCTTTCTGTACTCACAAGGTGGCTCACGGTAGAGCGGAGAACCCCAATTTTCCATAATTTATCAGAGCAGTTAGGAAACTGCTTTGGTATTCATCCTGAAGAATGTCCATGATAAATAAAATAATAGTATAATGTAGGTGGTAACATATTGTTATTAAAATGAGTGACATAATTTGATTTCAAAAAGTATGAATTTAAAAGAATAGTTCAATACTTTGGGAGGTACTTTTATTTGTAGAGTGAGTGAGAAGACTGAATCAACGTCATGCCTGTGTGTTAAGGGCAGAGCTGGAGTCAGCACTTGGTTAGCCTAGCTTAGCATAAAGACTGGAAGTAGGGGGAAACAGCTAGCCCAGTTCTGTCCAAAGTTAAAAAAATGTAATACACCGACCAACACCTGTTGTTGTATCTTGTTGGTTTTATCTGAACACAGAAACAACACACAGTTCTTGGTTTTAGTGGGAGCTTTGTTCTGGGTCTATTTCTTGACAAACAGTTTATCCATCTAGCCAGTGCCTCTGTGCAGTGTGTGTTGCTATAGTGTAGGTAGCTGTTGTTCACCCAGAAATAAATAAAAGAGTAACTTAACACTAAATATACTTTTTTCACTTAGTAAATTACATGTAATTTGATTTCACTATCTATTCATCAAGGTACCACTTTATAGAGTTCAGAAGTTATTGTCCTTTTTCCACACACCAGGATACTCTGCCCCAGAACTACCAAGAGCTCTTGGTAGATGTATTTTGGGCAGAGCCAGACTAGCTACAATTATCTTTAAATAAATAAAGTTTACACAGCAACATCATTTGGAGGATATCGGTTGACTGTTCTACTTCAAACAAATCTCCAAACTCAATTTAGAGATGTTCAGTGGACAGTTGCTTTTCCCACTTTCAGATGGGGGAAAAAAAAAACTGAGTGTAAATTGAAAAAACACCAGTCATTACATGTCTCTCTCTCTCTTTATCATCTTGAATAAAATTCAAGGTGCCAGACAGTATTCAGTGCTTGAATGTTAGTGGAGGTCAAACACTGTATGAAAGCACTAGACTGTATTGTACTAACAAGAAAAGATGCAATATGTCAGGCAGTAATAATAATCATTTAGTCAGTCCTTCCATCAAACTTCCAGCTCTCTCACTTTGTTTCGAGTGTAATATGGATGTAATAAAGCTTTCAGTTCGCAGGACTATAGTGAACACAGCTGTATCAGCACTTAGTCCTGATAATGTGTTGCATGCAGCACCACATGCATCCATTAGACATCTCTGTTGACACCAGACTGCTTCACCAATTGCTCAACCTGTTTGTTTTCACAAAGTCATATGGGGGAAATTAGGGATTTTAATAAGCAAAAATCAGAACCCCCCACTTTAAAACCAGCAGTGGAAACACTTAAGTGGGTACTTGACATTAAACATACTGTGAAATTCACTGCTTTCCATGAATTACACTGATTTCACTCAAGATGGGAAGTCACCCAACATGGTGGATGAAAGCGTTTTTATTATTAAAACTTCCACAACAGTATTTCAGCACCAGTGACCTAGCCTGCCCTATTTCAAATAAATCCGATTACTGACCACCATCCGCCACAACCACTAGTCAAGATCAATATCTCCCTTCATGAAAAATTAAACAGTTACATGTTAATACGATATAACCCAGCTGATTTAATCACATCTGACTTATTCAATGACAAAGATATGAAAAATTAATTAACTTAATTTGTTCCCACACATCTCAAAATGACATAATTTTTCAATCTAGGGATAAGAGATTGTTTAATTATTAATAAGTAATTCCCAGGACGTCATTTTGTGTAACCACCAGTATGGATTCAGAATAAAACAATGTACACAGGTTATTTAGCTGGTTGATAAAACTCCTATGAACAGTAATGAATACGCTTTGGGTATATTTTTATATTTTTGGATTTAGGGAAAGCTTTTGATACATCTGCTCATAATATTTTACTTATTAAATTGTCACCTAATTCTTTTAATGGACAACAAATAGCTGTCTAATTATATCACTAATCCAATTCAATTAAATTTGCCAATTCATAACAGAAGTTATCTCAGGACACTTTTCAAATAGAGCAGGTCTGGACCGTACTACTAAAAGTATTTACAGAACAACAGTTCCCACCATGAGCAAGCACTTGGCAATGGTGGCAAGGAAAAACTGCCTTTTAAGAGTAAGAGGCAGAAACCTTGGACAGACCCCGGCTGGGTGGTCGTCTGCTTCGACCAGTTGGGGAGAGGGGGAGAGGGGGAGAGAGAGAGAGAGAGAGAGAGAGAGAGAGAGAGAGAGAGCACAAGAACTCCGGGGAAAAAGTGAAGTTAGTAACATGCATTAATGGAACATGAATGAGTGCAGAAAGAGAGAGGAAGAGAGGAGCTCAGTGCACCATGGGAAATCCCCCGATAGTCTAGGCCTATAGCAGCATAACTAAGGGATGGTTCAGGACTCACCTGATCCAGCCCTAACTATGAGCTTTATCAAAGAGGAACGTCTTAAGCCAACTCTTAAATGTGGAGAGGGTGTCTGCCTCCTGAACCACAACTGGAAGCTGGTTCCACAGGAGAGGAGCTTGGTAACTGAAGGCTCTGGCTCCTGTTCTACTTTTAGAGACTATAGGAACCACAAGCTCTTTAAGATATGAAGGGGCCTGACCATGAAGAGCTTTATAGGTGAGGAGGAGGATTTTAAATTCTATTCTACATTTTACAGGGAGCCAGTGCAGAGAAGCTAGTACAGGAGAAATATGATCTCTTTTCCCAGTTCCTGTCAGTACTCGTGCTGCAGCGTTCTGAATTAATTGGAGCGTTTTAATGGACTTATTGGGGCAACCTGATAATAAAGAGTTGCAGTAATCCAGCCTAGAAGTAACAAATGCATGGATTAGTTTTTCTGCATCCGTCTGTGACAGGATGTGTCTAATTTTGTAATGTTACGTAAATGAAAAAAGGCAGTCCTAGAGGTTTGCTTTATGTGGGAATTAAAGGACATCCTGATGGAAGATAACTCCAAGATTACTAATGGTGGTGCTGGAGGCCAAGGTAATACCATCTAGAGTAACTATATCTTTAGACAGTGAGTCTCTGAAGTGTTTGGGGCCAAGTACAAAAACTTAGGATTATAACATCAGAAAATTGGAGCTTATCCAAGTTTTTATGTCCTTAAGACATGCTTGTAATTTAGATAACTGATTAATTTAATTGGGCTTGATCGATAGATATAACTGGGTGTCATCTGCATAACAGTGAAAGTTAATGGAGTAATTCCTAATAATGTTGCCTAAGGGATGCATATATAAAGTGAATAGAATTGGTCCAAGCACAGAACCTTGTGGAACTCCATGACTAAGTTTAGTGTTAATAGAGGATTCATAATAAACGTGTACTAACTGAGAACGATTTGATAAATAGGATTTAAACCAGCTTAGTGTGGTTCCTTTAATGCCAATTAGATGCTCAAGTCTCTGTAAAAGAATATTATGGTAATTGGTGTCAAATGCGGCACTAAGATCTAATAATACTAAGTACATTGTCGGAAGCAATTAAAAGGTCGCTATTAAGTTTAACCAGAGCTGTCTCTGTGCTGTAATTAACTCTAAATCCTGACTGAAAATCCTCAAATAAGCTATTGCTATGTAGAAAGTCACACAACTGCTTGGCAACTACTTCCTCCAGAATCTTAGAGAGGAATGGGAGGTAAGAAATGGGTCTATAGTTGGCTAAAACCCCTGGGTCAAGAGTGGGCTTTTTAAGAAGGGGTTTAATTACAGCTACGTTAAAGGACTGTGGTACATATCCTGATAATAAAGAAAGATTGATCATATCTAGTAAAGAAGTGCAAGTTGATGGCTTCGATGTAGAAATTACTGAAGTTTGTTGATGCAGCTCGATAGCAGGAAAACAGTTTAAATATATATCTGATTTTACATTTGCTAAAATTCCTGAACTTAGAGGGACAGCGATACCTGTTGAGGGAATTTGGTGATTAACTTTGTCTCTAATAGTAATAATTTGATCATAAACGAAGCTAAAGTCGTTACTACTGAGGGTTATGGGGATATGTGGCTCAATAGAGCTGTGACTCTCTGTCAGCCTGGCTACAGTGCTGAAGAGGAACCTAGGGTTGTTCTTATTTTCTTCTATTAGTGCTGAGTGATAGGCTCCTCTGGTATTATGGAGGGCCTTTCTATAAGTTTTAAGATTATCTTGCCAAATTGAGTGATATTCTAATCATTTGGAAGAGCGCCATTTCTTTTCAGAGTTCCGTGCTTTTTGCTTTAATTGGCGGGTTTGGTGGTTGTACAACGATGCTAGTCTTCTATGTCTTAATATTTTCCTTTTTATAGGGGCGATAGAATCTAGTGTTGGTCGCAGTGAGCCACTATTAACGAGATGATCAATTTGAGAGGGCCTAAAGTTTAATAAGAGTCCTCTGTTAAATTCAGACATGGCATTGAATTAAACACTGATGAAATCTCCTCCTTAAATTTAGCTATAGCACTGTCAGATAGACATCTGCTGTAGGAAGTTTTGCCTAATGGCTTATAATCTATTAATAGGAATTCAAAAGTTATTAAATAATGGTCATATAGAAAAGGATTTTGTGGGAAGACTATTAAATGTTCAATATCAATGCCATAATATAGAACGAGGTCAAGAGTGTGATTTAAAACAATGGGTGGGTTTATTTACACTCTGACAGAAGCCAATTGAGTCTATTAATGATATAAATGCGTTACTAAGGCTGTCATTGTTAACTTCCACATGAATATTAAAATCACCTACAATAATTACTTTATCTGATTTAAGGACTAAACTTGATAAAAACTGAGAATTCAGATATAAAATCAGAGTACGGTCCAGGAGCGCGGTACACTATAACAAATAGAACTGGCTGCAGTGTTTTCCAGGATGGGTGAAAAAGACTAAGAACAAGACTTTCAAATGAATTATGATGTTCTGCTATCATAGTACATATCACAGTCCTGTTTTGCTGACTGACTGATTTAAGCATTTCAGTCATTGTGCAGCTCATAAAAATTGTAATTGGAAGAATGTTGCCAATACATGTTGGGTTATTGAACTTTAATGTCGGGTCAACAACATAAGGGGATTTTTTCATTTTGTTACAGTCACTACAAATAAGGTACACTAGAGGGCTGCCACTGGTGGCTGAAACCCATTTTTGTGATATAAGCATCTTATTATAACAATGGAGAATATGTTGGAGTTTGGAGAATAAAGTTGTAGCATTAAGGAGAAATTTTACATTTACAAGATGTTGTGAGGTTTGTTTTTCTCACTCATCTCTGCATTTCTTGGCGATTATCACATGCTGCCAGTACCAATCTGGGCTGATAAAACCAAAAATGTTTTAAACATTATTTTTCCTTTTAAAAAAAAAAAAAAAAAAAAAAAAAAAATAGTTATTGTGACCTGGCCTAACTTGGTCACATGGTTACCTTCTCTCATCACGCTGGTTCTTCTTTCCCGCAGGAAACGAACATCTCCAGCCAAGGACGAGCACATGGCAGGGGTCAAGGACTCACTGCTGGCCCACTCCTCAGATCCTGTGGAGATGAGGAGACTCAACTATCAGACACAAGGTATGGACACACACACACTCACACACACACAGAGACAGACACAGCTGTCCCGAGAGAAACATTATGTGTATTTTCACCTTTCTTAAAAGTATTTTTATCATATTTATACCCTATATATTTATTTTTGCTGTTGACGCTGTTAACTGTTAATACAAACTTAACACTTCCTCCAAGTTTATCTGTTGTCTCAATAAATTCAACAACAGTTCTTGCTCTCGTTCACCATTTACTTTACTCTGATGCTCCAATCGGCGGAACAGCATCTTTTGTCTGTGCCTTCATCATACAGCAGCTATTCAGCAACAAAATCCATGTAGGGAGGAGGTTGAGGTGGGTAAATGGGTTTAACTCTTTCCCCTGGGAGACTATTGCAGACAGTTGCAGTTTGTTTAAGCTTAGGTTTATGCTGTGCAGTTATAAATAACCACATTGGCTATTTCATCCCGGATGCAAATAGCATCTGTTGGCATTGTTAAAATAAAAATAAAAACTACTTTATTAGGTTAGATAATAAAACTTTTATAAAAACAACTTTTTGTCATATTTGCTGAGACTTTCAATATATCCTGACAGTAGCACATGAGACAGATAATATGTATATAGTGAAAGAGTACAGTGAAAGTTTCAGAAAATATGACATTATTTCTTTAAAAATAACCCATTGCAGCTTTAATGTTCAGGGTATTTGTATTTCAGTGGGAGGTTTTAAACTCACAGTTTGTCATTGTTTTTCGACCATGTTCCTCTCTCAATCAGATGGGTAGCACTTACCTCAGGTAGCAGTAGGAGGGAATTTGGCAGATGTTGTTTACACCAAGATAAATTCATTAACTCATTTGGCTGCCAACCTTTGTTCTCCCTCTCAAATTGACAGATGACATCATGTGTACTCATGCTATAAAGTGAAAATTGTGAACTTTTAAACATGCTTTACTGTCCTTGAGTATTTCAATTTTACGCTACTTTATAAATAAGACAAATACTTCATACAACATTTATATATTTAGAGTAGGCTCAAGACGTTCCTCTTAGATAAAGCTTATAGTTAGGGCTGGATCAGGTGAGTCCTGAACCATCCCTTAGTTATGCTGCTATAGGCCTAGACAATCGGGGGATTTCCCATGGTGCACTGAGCTCCTCTCTTCCTCTCTCTCTCTTTCTGCACTCATTCATGTCCCATTAATGCATGTTACTAACTTCACTTCTTCCCCGGAGTTCTTGTGCTTTCTCGTCTCGCAGGTTCTCATGGATCCTGGTGGAGCCTCCTGCCATGGTCCTGCTTGACTGCCATTGCTAATATCACTGATATTATTGTTATTATTATTATTATTACTATTATTATTACTACAGTTACTAATATTACTATAGTCACTGCTCATTGTCCCCCATCGTTGCTGTTGTCGTCATCATCTTCTTCATGTTCATCATCATCAGTCACTACTATTAGTGTAGTTGTTGCTACTGTTGTTGTCTGTCTGTCTGTCTCTCTCTCTCTCTCTCTCTCTCTCTCTCTCTCTCTCTCTCTCTCTCTCTCTCTCTCTCTCTCTCACCCCAACTGGTCGAGACAGACGACCACCCACCTAGAGCCGAAGGGTCTGTCCTAGGTTTCTGCCTTTTAACAGGCAGTTTTTCCTTGCCCCCGTCACCAAGTGCTTGTTCATGGTGGTACTGTTGGGTCTCTGTAAATAATGTTATAAAGAGTTCGGTCTAGACCTGCTCTATTTGAAAAGTGTCCTGAGATAACTTCTGTTATGAATTGGCGCTATACAAATAAAATTGAATTGAATTAAATTTATTTGATAGTATTTGAGGTAACGACAGAAGGACAGAGACAAAGGTGCACAGCAACAACTACAATAATAGTAGTGACTGACGATGATGATGAACATGAAGATGAAGACGACGACAACAACGATGGGGGACAATGAGCAGTGACAATAGTAATAATAGTAACTGTAGTAATAATAATAATAATAATAACAATAATATCAGTAATATTAGCAATGGCAATCTAGCAGGACCATGGCAGGAGGCTCCACCAGGATCGATAAGAACCTGCGAGACGAGAAAGCACAAGAACTCCGGGGAAGAAGTGAAGTTAGTAACATGCATTAATGGAACATGAATGTGTGCAGAAAGAGAGAAACTACTGTGTTTAGAAGGGGAGGATGAAGCAATGGATTTGTGATCCACAACTATACCATTAAATGCCACTAAATCCTACATGCTGGACCTTGAAATAGAATTTTAAATGCATAACTTTTTTTTTTTCTTTTTTGTTGTGAATTTAACTGATGTTAAATATATTTTGGTAATATTTGAAGATAGTTGATGTGAAAGGGTTAAACTAAAAGTAAAATACAATATATTTTATTGTCATTTCCATGTGCAGTAACAGAATGCACGCATTAGGGGTGTCATGATGAAATACCCATATCATGTTAATACAATGATGATAGTTCTTTCCATTCTCACTTTGTGGTTCACACTCTTTTGTACGCTATTGTACAGTTATGGTTACGGACTCTCTCATAACCCTGCTGCACTCATATTTTAAGTGTAATTAATTTGCCAAAAAAAAAAAAACACTATTACATAAGAATTTGATTTACATGATTTTTTTTTCTTCAAAATTTCAACAGATTTGAGAATATGTGAGTTGAGTTATTTTGGCCATGATAATCGTGTAGGGAAAATCTGATATCATTACGGCCCTAGCAAGCATAAGTCTAAATTCAAGGTATTACCCATAATTCTAGATACCTGTATGTTTTGACACAAAGTTTATGCTAATTAGCAGGTATGATCAAGCAAGTTAGCGTCTTGCTACACAGCTTGTTTTCGACCCTTATCAGACAGGGTAAAGAAAATGTACAAATGGTAGTGGTTGTCATGCTAACATGCATGCAACAAGTAATTCTACCATGTTCATCAGTCAGAGGATCACCAAAGTTATTAGGCTTCATCGTCTGGGGACCTTGAATGTCTTTACTAAATTTCATGACAATCCATCCAATAATTGTCAAGATATTTCGATCTGAACTTGAGGCATGGTCACATTAGAGTTCCGGTATCTGGTATTCTATACAAATAAGGATAGTTATTGGAGTAACTGCACCGTCGGACTGGCAGGTCAGAGATCACCTTTGTTCAACTTCAACTGAGCAGATGTGCCAATAGAGACACAGATGTTGTTTGTTTGGAAATGGAGATGTAATTATTCCAGTGTTTTGTATCACTACATTTAGTATATCATCACACTACCAGACGACACATTGTAGCGTCACTCTCATTAACTGTTCACAGTTTGCGATCGCTCTGATCCATATTCATTTATGACAACATTAGAAAGGGGGCATCAGGTCCTTTTTGAACGTAACTGTGCCTTCAGGTGGTGGACTGACCAACTGACCAACAACCAGTGAGCAACATTGCCATCCCTAGAGGCACCTCACAGGATTGCCTAAAAACTGAAGTCCCTTTATCTGTGCTAAGATGCAATAAATGTTGAGAGATATTTTACACATACAACTGACAAAAAAGAAAAAAATACTTTCTCAGTGCTTCCTGTGTTCTTTTCTTTTGTCTGTCCTCTCCTAACTGACCCCTGTACTGTTTGTTTTGCCTGGTCTTTCCCCCACAGGTTCCAGTGCCCTCAGTTGCCCGAACACTCCAAGTTAGTTTTCATTCCTCTTGTGTTTTACTAATGTTTCCTCCCATTCCCACCTCCTTCCAGTTCTGTTTTACCTAGCAGCCATTTGAACTAGAGCCCGCTTATTTAACCCAGTCACCTCCACTTCTCAATGGTCTGTCCAGGTTGAGGGTTGAAATGAAATACAGTACAAAGATCATAAATCATATATAGAAACAAATATCAGTGTAAGGCCTGTGTGATGCCTTCCCACTCACCTTTTGCTTTATGGGATTTCTTTAACCAATCAGCATGCTTGTTGATGCTCACATCACCAGTGTGGTTTGGGCATGCTGTTGAAGAGCTGACTTCATCCCTCTGCTCACCACACAGCACTCTCACTGTCCCCCTTTATCACTGTGAGCACTTAGCTCTGAGCCTTCAACATGCATCTGCACCCTGGTTACATTGTCCACTTTGTGTGTGTGTGTGTGTGTGTGTGTGTGTGTGTGTGTGTGTGTGTGTGTGTGTGTGTGTGTGTGTGTGCGTGTGCGTGTGCGTGTGTGTGTGTGCGCGAAAAATACTTACCACCTCAACCTCTCGCTGCAGGGATGAGGGAACATCCTCCCATTGCTACCTGTGACCTGGCAGATCACATAGAGAGACTCAAAGCCAACGATGGTCTGCGCTTCTCCCAGGAGTATGAGGTAATTCTTTCAGCTTCTATACCTGGCTTTCAAGTCAACTAGGATTCAAGGATTCAAGGTTATTTTATTGTCATTTACAACGCAAGGTGGTGGAATCAAATGTATTTATAGTTCCCTTTATGCTACTTTTAAAAAATAATTATTCATTCATTCATTTATAGTCATGAAAAAAAAAACTCACAGCCTGAGGGAAGAAGCTGTCTTTATGTCTGGTGGCTTATGTACCTTTTCCCAGAGTGCAGCAGGGTGAACAGGCTGTGGCAGTCACCTCATCTCACCAATATCACTGATGCTGGGTAGCTGAGTACCAATGATCTTCCGGGCAGTTTTAATCACCCCCTGCAGAGTCCTCCTGTCGTGGGCTGTGCACATCCCATGATGCCAGTTTATGATGTTTCCAGTCAGGATGCTTTCTATTGCTCCTCTGTAAAAGTTAACAAGAACTTAACACAGGCTTTTTGCTTTCTTACGTTTCCTTAAAAAATACGGTCATTTCTGTGCTTTATTTAACTAGTGTAGAAGAAATGTGAGATGACCATGACAGGTTCAGCACACATACCTTTCAGCTGTATTCAACGTCTTGTTTTCTGAAGAAATGTATAGAAATAATATCACTGGGCTGATTCCTGTTGTGTTTGAGAACTGATCAGCTCACCTCTGAAATACATGATTGAATTTGTGCTGGGATTATGTCAGCTTTATCAGATAGATCAGATTTTATTAATCCTGTTTTGTTGTTTTATAGTTGGCTAAATTGTAAACATGCAGAAGTTGAAAAAACTAAAAATAATAAGGAAGCAGCTGCAGCCCTTTTTAGTGTGATCTAGTTGTGTCTACTAAGTTATAATGAAAATTGTACTGAAACAAACATCTTTAGTCCTGTCAGTGTCAACTCATGATAACTTAAAATTTTTAGAGTAGACAAACTTAAGAAGTTAAGCTGAGTCAGCAGTTAAGGAATATTCAATCAAGAATTGTTGATTTATTTTTCACTAGTAGAGCAGTCTCAAGTCCAATTCCTCCATATAGACCGTACTTTAAAAAGGCAGTGGATCAAGGATAGTCATTATGTGGCTGGTACGTTTTACAAAAGCAGGTTGTGGGCAGAGGTTAAATTTATCTTCATCGTGGTTTACATTGTTGATTGTTGAGTTTTCATCAGACACGTGTATGAAAGGACACAAACTTCCATCGCAGCTTTACTCAAATTAGTAAAAAGAAGGCTTTCTGGAGAATTTTAATCCAAATACAATGCAGACATATTGCTTGTCAACTGCTGCTTGTCAATAGAGGGGCCCAGAGGACACCCAGTGTCTCAAAATGTGCCCTCTCGTTATAGTTATTGTTCTTGGTGTGAATGCCGCCCTTAAATTTTGGTTTTGGAAAAATAAATTGGAAAAACCCCACCTATCCTGACATCAGTAAATTAAATCAAAGCATCTATTTGCCACTTTCTAGACAATATCTGTCTATGTTTTTGTTATGAGAAACATCTGCATTACGTTATTAGAGATGTGGTGACACATTCCTGGGGTTAAGCCACCAAAAAGAAAATATGAAGAGAAAGACCAAGAGCAGAGTCATTGAGGTCTGCGTTTTTGCGAGAGGTGGTGTCTGAACGAAACAGGAGCTCTTAGGTCCTGGCTAAACTTGAGGCAATTAATGCATGATTCAGTTTTATGGCCAGTAAAAATATATTTTGCTGGTACTTTTTCTCAGTTTACCTGCCCTCAGCAGATGAGCCAAAAACTTAGTTTTGGACCCTGGCATTGACCATAACCATGTATCCCCATGTCATACCTGTAAAAAGTCCAGTCTAGCCTTAACTAATGGGGGCACACTTGAATAACAGAGTTGTTAGAGATAAACTAAATATCTGAAACAGTCCCCTGTAAAAAACACGCCTGACAGGAAGACAGTATCTCTCTCTCAGTCCTCTCCTCTTCTTTCAGTCCTCTGATTGATGCTGTCGCTCTTCCCTGTTTTCTAAACTCAGTGGTTTTCCACCTCTCAGGGCAGTGTAGTGTTGTGCAGATACTATCCCAGCCAACATGTATATGTGGGTCCATATGGGTTACACTGGATTTCATGGGTACCAAGTGGGTATGGGCCCAAGATGAGCCCCATATCCCCAAGGCTCCCTATGTGGGTCCTATTTAGGTCACTAATGGGAAATGAGAGTGTGGGCTCAGAGTGGGCAACATAAATAGTGTCCATTGGGTTACCAAATACCCACCTAACATCCTGTGCAATCCTGAATAAAGCCAGTGGGGCCAGTATGGAACCTCCAGACAATTCCATATAGGGCCCATTTTTCAGCCCATCTAATACCCACATGGGCCCCACATACAGATGTTGGCTAGGTGCAGCCTGTGAACTTTTTAAGTGAGGACATAGTGGGAGCATTTGCTAAATCAATGCTCTATAAATAGATGAGCACTGGCCTAATAATGTGGGTTATTTAAAATGTGTTATTTACAAAAGCAAGGCTTTTATTGTTTTTGTGAAAATTGACATGTTTTTAATTTTCATTATATTTTGAAAATTCTACTAATGTGAACATCTGGAGAAAAAAGTGTAGATTTTGTAAATTTTTCATTGGTTTCAGATTTTTTTTATAAGATAATGGTGATGAAAGATATTTATAGGGCCCCCCTGATAATTATTGCCTAGGGCCCCAACAGATTTAGATTTGCCACTGGCGGGGCGTTGGATATCGTGTTTCTAATCAACATGATGGGATGAGTTGGTTGAACGTTTAGTTGGACATTTAGTGAAATGGTTCTACAACAGAAAAACAGACAGCTGGGAGACAAACAGACAGGATATCTCAACCTCTGCTGCTTCCATTTAGACCATTTTTAAAAACATTTTTTTTTTTATCTTTTATTGCCTTTTTAACTGATAGTGACAGCTGAAGATAGAGAGGAAAGGGGGTTAGAGAGAGGGGATGACACGCAGCAACGGGCCGCAGGTCAGAGTCAAACCCTGGGCTGCTGCAGCACTTTTAGACTATTTTTATGTGAATCTTGCAAGTCCCACAGCTTTATGGAAATTGCTTAAATTGATTATTATATGGAGCTGGAAGCATATGACACTTTCATGTTATAATATAATAATATTTTTAAGCCAGTATTTACATTTTCTTGATTTAATAAAGCTGGTAATATTATAAACTTCTATGTGTTTTTCTTAGAGAGCACATTTTAGTGCCTTTAAAAAAAAAAAAAAACATTTATTTCTTTCTTTGAAAAATGCCTCTGAAACAGCAACTTAGGGACTGTAAATCTGTCCAGCAAAAGCCAGACTTATAAAATAATTGAATGTGGGTGAGCAGGCCCTTAGGGCAAGGTGAGGTAGGTTTCATTAGAGCTTTTAGCGACTGTGGTCTTTGCGCTGATACTTAGTATCAGCAATGACGAGTATACAATACATGAAGTTTTCTATTGACCCTGCAGGTTTCTTTTTCTTGTCAGAGTAGGGATAAATATATATTTACCCACGCCCATCTGGAAAATCAGCATTCTTATTTCTCTTTTTTCTGTATAGAGCTGGCTTAACATTGCAGAGTTAAAGTTCAGCATTGGTTAAAAAAAAAAAGGATGCTGCTCTGTATGGATAAATTCACTGCCTCCTTTCCAAGAATAATATCGCACTGCTTTTACCTACTGTAAAAGCCAGTGAGGGATTATGGCTTGTTGATGTGCTACAAAGGAAGGTAATTTGCATTTAAAGTGGTGAATTGCCAAGCGGATAAAACAGGACAGATGGGTGCACTGTTTATGCACAGCAGAAGGAAGGGGGCATATAAATTATGAAACAGCAACTGAATCAATGTTTCTAGCTTTCCAAGTTTTTTTCCCCTACAATGTGGTGAAATAGAGGGAACTTTTTGGAGACATATTGTTATGTTTGCCTGACAAGATAGCATTCAGTTCAAATTAGAATATTTTCGTGACTCTTGCTTCAAACGTGCAGTTGTTAAAAGTATGTTTAAATAATAATATTCAGATGGAACTAATGTAATGTCTGGGATTGGATGATATTAAGCCATATTTAGAATAATCATGCTTATTTGTATTCACTACTCTAATAATGTAAATTAATATCTGATTGGAGAGAGCAATCCATCTATTTTTAACAAAGTACCAGGACCTCAGATTTGGAAGTTATGACTCTGATCCCAACCTCTTCACAAACTGACCCAGTGTGTGCTAGATGTCACAGGACAATGAAGCCATTAGAACCACATCATTCACTAAAAGAAGAGGAGCAATCCCAGGGCCATCGTATGAGACACTCCTGGCTTATGGCTGTGCCTTAAGATCCTGCCCAATAAAATCACAAAACAGTGAGAAGACACAACCCTGGCAGAGTCCAGCACCCACTGAGAAAAGGCTTTACTTACTAATATGAACTCAACTCTTGTTCCACATACTGGATGTCTCATAGCAACAACCCCAGTACTGCTTATCTCACAGCAGTCTCCACAAGATACCCTGGGGGACACAGTCATTAGCCTTCTCCAAGTCAAAAAAACCTGTAGAATGTAAAATGTGGTAGACTGGATGTTTTTACCCAAGGTATAGATACGGTTCTAATTGATTAAATGGGTGCAACAAACAGGTTGTTCAGATGTCGATACGTTGTGGCTGCCCTCTGAATTTTTGCTCTTAGTCTCTGCCAGTAATCAAGAATGAAAGCAACAGTCACAGCAGCTGATGTTTAAGATGATATGTAGGTGCCTGATTCTGTAGAACTCAATAAACTTGATTTGGAGGCTGTCATGATGGAGGCACTGGGTCTCTCGCTCTCAGACACACACATTGTATGTCCTCCTGTGCCCCATTGCATAGGAGCTACCAGCCATTAGTCCATAGTAAGAGCAGCAGGGCTTGAAATGAAAAGCTGATAATGGCTGGGTTTTAAATGAGACCTGCCAGAGGATCTAAAAACTTGTTACATCTGATGAATGAGCCAGTATATTTGGGGACTACTGGAGACCACTTCATATACTGCATATGGCCTCTATAACAGCAATCCTCTTCATTGCATAATAATGATTACATCTATTTCTTAACCGTATCAAATGAGTAAAAGCTTGTTTGCACGAGTAAAACTGTCTGGTAACTGGGCCTCAGGGTTCCTTAACACAGCTCTTTTGACGTATCGTTCATTGCAGTGAATACTGCCAATGCAGATGCAAGTATTAATGTCTATGTCTAGGATGGATGGCTGCCCAGACATTGTGTCTCTTTATAAAAATAAACTCTCATTGTTCCAGTGCATGGACACAAATTATCATTAACAATAGGAGTGGTATGTCTATATCATTCTTAATACTTGCCAATGTTCTGTTTTGCTGGAGTTCCAGTTTCTCACAAGTCCCAACAGGAACCCAGACACTGTGCTGCAACTGTTTTTTTTCTGTTACCAGCACAGCAAGGGGTGCTGGTGTGTGTGACAATGGGGTGTTTGAAACTTTGTTCAAAGATAAACCAAAAGGAACAACCAACACTAACACCAGCTGCCTACTGAGTATGAACATCTGTAACCTCATGCTATGTTTGTGTATGGCTACTGATAGAAACAATTATATATCCCTATTGAAGTTATGATTGCACAAGGTGGTTTTGTATTCATCAGTTTTGGTTATACTGCAGTGTGCACACTGCATTTCCAATCCATTTTAGGGTAAACCATTACCCTTGCTAAAACATTTTCTTAAAGGAAAACTACTCTTAATTGCAATATGGGTCTTATTTTTTAGGTCTGGCCATCAGTTATATCAGACATTGTATTCAGCAAAGTAATTGCAGAGATCACAAAACACATGTCCAACACTGAAAACATGTCCAACACGGAAATGGAACATTTCTGGACTGCACTTATATAGCACCTTTCTAGACTTCCGACCACTGAAAGTGCTTTATACTAATTCAAGTGGCCGAACTACAAGTCGTCCAAACTAAACAACAAAAGATGTTATTTCTTATACCCTTCTCTCTCCCTCTGTGTGCAGTGACTTCCAAAACTATTAAAAAACAGTGTAAGGATTTGTGTGATCATTTCCTGATCTCCACTGCCATGGATAAATTTTTGTTGACTTTAGACACAAAAAATTACACAGTGAAGGTAACGCAACAATCTTGGTCATAGTCATGGCTAAAAGAAACCAACATGGAATTTTGTAGGAAACGACAAACATACTGCAGTGGTTTGACAATTGTGTTTCTTCTATGTCTCTGTCAGTGTACATGTAATGTAAAGCATTTGAAGTTACAGAAAGCGGATACAAATCCCCATGTTTGATTTCTTATGTTGTTTAATTTAAATAACATTCACCAAAGTTAATGTGATTCTCATCTGACAGTGTGAAGTGAGATCGATGAAAATGTGTGCCAATGTGATAAGTGAGGTTTAGTGTTAAGAGCAGCTAATCCAGAGCCAATCCTGTAATGTGTATTCATTCAATTATTATTCTTAACTCAGTGAATATGGCCGCAGGTGCGAGCCTGGCTCTGCCACACTTAAATCCACATGCTTCATGCCTGGTTGTTCCCTTCTCTGTGTTTACTGGCTTTGTTTTTTGTTGGTGGAACTGCAGGTCCGTGAGGGTGATTGCACTGACATGCTTGGTAACTGATCTACACGTTAGCGGAGCACATTAGCGGTAATGTGAGTGGTTTGTCAGTGCAGCGCGATGGAAGCCTTGCCTAACAGGCTGTTAAATAAGATGTGCATTCAACCTCTTTCTCCATTGTCATTATTATCAGTTGTAGACTTGGGGGCTGAGCAGCCATCCAGCCAGTCAGGGGGGAAAGCAGCAGGATATTAGAGTCCTAGTCACTGCTTCATTTTGCTTGTCCATGTGTGTATGTGTGTTTTTTTTCCATATGATGTAAGATAAGTAGTAGGACCGTGAAAGGTCAATCATAAATAACAATCTTCAGCGTGTCATTATTCAGCTAAACCTGCGCCTGCATTCACAGCCGGCAATCGATAGAGACCAATCATCAGGCAGCGCAGTGAAAACATGTCCAGCTCATATCGGCACACACTCTGTCATCACTGGAACACAGGCATGTTTCCATCTCACATACAGCAATAATTTAACCCGTAACACCTACCTGCTCACGGTGTTGAGCTTAGCTTTGGGGTATACAAGTGTGGTAGGATAATTCAATTCAGTTCAATTAAATTTTATTTGTATAGCGCCAATTCATAACAGAAGTTATCTCAGGACACTTTTCAAATAGAGCAGGTCTAGACCGAACTCCTTATAACATTATTTACAGAGACCCAACAGTACCACCATGAGCAAGCACTTGGCGACAAGGGCAAGGAAAAACTGCCTGTTAAAAGGCAGAAACCTAGGACAGACCCTTCGGCTCTAGGTGGGTGGTCGTCTGTCTCGATAAGGGTGGGTCTTATGAGTGACTCCTACAAATTTGTACAAATTAATAAGTAGAGGATAAGTTCTGCGAGGTTAAGTGTTAAGAGCAGGATTCATCCTACTAAAAAATATTTTTTTCTACTGGACAAAGGGAATTTTACCTGATGGTGACGCTTAAAGAAAAGTCAGACAATCACCAAAGCATTCATCCTCTGGGGACCATGAATTTACAAAATTACATTTAAATCCATTCAATAGTTGAGATATTGCTGCCTGGATCAAACTGACATTGCAATCAAGTCATCTAGAATTTGCAAATGAAAAGTAGGAATGTCAGAAATTCAAAAGAACGTTTTTATGGGTACTTTAGGTGGAAAGTTTAACATATCAAAACGGTAAAGCCCACGGCTCAACAATAAGGGTTTCTACTTGCTCGCCACTATGTGCTTTTAAATCTAACAACTTACTTTATGATTTTTCTGGAGTGAACCATCTTACTTCTTGTCCCTGTCTGAAGGGATGTCTGAGCATTTCAGTTACCCTGGAAACAGAAGTTAATTTGGCTGGTGTTAGAGGATGTGGGCAAAACTCCAACTATGTATTGTGCAGTTTGCTGCAAGTTAGAGAGCAAGGTGGATTAAACAGTCGTTCACCAAAGAAAGTTACTAGAGTGCCATATGAAGAGTCGACAGCACCTCACTTGCATGGCAGCTGAGGGTCTCTGTTGTTATTTGAAAACTGCTAATAAATTCAACTATTTGTATAGGGGCAAGTAAAAATTTTATGTGGGCAAGTAGATTTTTGACCCACTTGCCTGACCAAAAACCATTAATGTTGAACCCTGCTGACAGAGACAGGTTTCAGATAGGCCTAAATGTCACAGTACCTGTTCAGCTTTCTCCATTGTACACATGCCCACATATGGATCAAAACATGTTCCACACTCTCAGCCTCTCCACAGCTATGTTCTCTGTGCAGGTGTTTCCCAACGAGTGCCAGTCCTCATTTTAGTGCAGAGACACAATCTCAACTGAGTTCTGAGTCCTCATCTGTTCACTTTCGATAAAATGATAATGGTTGACCACTCAACCTAATGTATGCTATGGGAAACATCCAAGACCACTGTCCCAAAACCTTACTGCATTGCTTCTCCTTCATGAGGTTAAAAGTTATTTGTTAATATCAGGCACTGAGCTGGTAGGTGGGAGGCTGATGGGGATTATTTTAGGAGTGCCCAAACAGTCCAGTGTGTATCCAGGGGGCGTAAAGATCATCCAGGGCTGTAGGAGGGATGACGAATTAGTTTGTGTGTCACATTTATTGGTCTGGACTCTGAGCTCTGACAGGCTTTAAACCACAGAAAGGAATACAGGCACTCTTGTAATAAACTATTACCTGCACTCTCTCTCCCTCCAACCTCTGTATAATCCCTCTCTCTCCCTCCTCTGTGTGTCAGTCTATTGATCCAGGGCAGCAGTTCACCTGGGAGCACTCCAACCTGGAGGTCAACAAGCCAAAGAACCGATATGCAAATGTTATTGCCTACGACCACTCCAGGGTCATCCTCACACCCGTGGATGGTGAGAGAAACGTATTCAGACATCTCAAGAGAGTGGACGTTACATACCGTGATTCTTAAATAGTCATCAGGGCATTGCTTTTACCCCAACTGCAGCAGTATTTATAACAGGCTTCTATTTGAGACGGACCTTTATGTCTGATTTCCCCGATTTTATAAGTGAATTTCATCATGTTTTAGGAAGACCTGCTCTTTTCTGATTGGCTCCCATTTTAATTTGCTTGCCAACTTTGTCCAACTTGTTCCTTGCTGCAGGAGTTCCAGGCAGCGACTACATTAATGCCAACTACATTGACGGCTACAGGAAACAGAATGCTTACATCGCCACACAGGGGCCTCTGCCAGAGACGCTGACCGACTTCTGGAGGATGGTGTGGGAGCAGAGGACCTGCACCATTGTTATGATGACTCGCCTAGAGGAGAAGTCACGGGTGAGGATCTCATGTTGAGAAATAGTAAAACAGAAACTCTGACAGTAGCCTTGGATTACAGTGTGTTTATCAAAATAGATGGACAATGCACAATGAATCAGTGCATCCATACAGTAAGAGCAAGCTCAGTAGTAGTGCTATATAGTTTCTCATTATGCACTGATTTGACATAATTCAACTCACTTCATCCATCTTCTTTTATACACATAAAGGTTTATCCGGAAGGGGCAGGGCCCAATGTCACGACAGTGGGTGACACTTTTTGCTGTCACAGTGGTGCTGCTTGTTACTGGTGTAAGCAAGGAGGACCCAGTACCACTGTCACAAAGGGGTGGTGCTTTCGTCTCAGGGGAAGGTCTTGTTTTGAGAAAGGGGTAGGGCATAATGTAGCAGCAGTGTAAGGTCTGAAGAAAGTTGGGGGTCATTATGTTTTAGCCTATAAACGTACTACCCCACGGTCGCATGACTTCAACGTCACCACCACTAAAGTTCCAACTAAAGTAATTAATATCTACAAGTTGTAAAGTAAGGAGTTAGAATAGTTTGCACGAGCACGAGGAAGAACACAACAAGGTTGTAAAGGCCGACTAGTAAGTAGACAAGTCTCCATGTTTTATTGTGACCAACACTCTCTTTAACCGCCTTTTTAAGACACGTCAAAGCTTTACTGACATATTTTATGTTGCAGAACAAAACGTGAAAATCTCTTAAGCTTCTGTTAACTACAGACTGTATTTCAGGCATCTAACCAATAACCCTATTGACTTAAATGCGAGGGAACTGGATATACTAAAATGCTAACTCATTTCCAGGTTTTAGGAGTAATTCTTGCAGCACTCTATGGGTTTGCGTTGACAACAAGGGGTCGGGTATGTTATAATTGGGACAAAAACTGAATTTACTGAAGCACTGCTCCAGGGATTTATACAGTGGTCACCCACTCCCTAAGCAGTGTTCTGATATACTGCCCTGTATCTAGTGCACTAGCTCCAGTGGTGCTGTCTGCAACAGCATTACCCTGCTTCTGGACATGAGGTATGAGGCGTTCACAGCCAGTCACATGGCAGATGAGCGCTAGCAGGACAGGGACTGTGTTCGTATGAGTAATGATGTCAGTCCTCTTTCACACTGTTAATAACTCCACAACCAAGGGGCAGAACTGAGTGCTACAGCAGCGCACCATTATTATATGTGACAGAGACCATCAGCCCTCTGCTGGAGCCAATAACACCCATCTGTGGTTCAAGCAGAGGTGCAGGAAATATTAGATGTTCTCTAACCTGTGGCTGAAGTAATGGCTGCTGGTTGTCCCCTGTTTCTGCTGATGTAAGGGACAAAAACCATGTGATTAACTGCAGACAATTTTGAAACAAGTCTAAACTTTAGACTTTTTGTGTAGTTGTCAGTGCCAGCCGCAATATGAATGTGATGCATGAAAAACCATATAGACAAGTAACATTGTGAGGCAGCCAGACTCCTGAAATCAATCCTGAGGCTTCAAGCTATGCACTTTTGTCTGAACCACAAGTGATTAGACCATCTAGTTCTGCCAGAACTAACAGCAGCTACGACAGGACCTACAGGTGTGGTTTAATGCTAGGTGTGTGCGACGACGTGTATAAGAAGTGACTGTTTCTTTGCTAAAGAGATTAGCGTAGATGCTGCTATCATCAGTTCTATCAGACCTGGAGAATAAGACTATTGAAAGCTTTTCTCCGTGGAGAATATGTTTTCTCTCTTCCCCCGACTGACTTCAGTAAGAGTTATATGGTTTGTGGATGGTACACAGTGATGTCAGAGACAGATGTTCCTTGTAATTACCTGCCAAGTATATTTTGAAAGTCCCTGCTCTTTTCCAAACCGTTCCCAATGATTGACTTCCCAGGTTGTTGTGTGAAACCATAAATTTACATGTCAAAGTACAAACGCTGTAATCCACTGATCTTAGCAATGTTACTGAAACAACATGATTTCAATCCAAAATGTCACGGCCATAAATACTAGTGACACCCTGTTCTTGAATTCTTGAGATTGAGTACTGGAGCTGATAATATAATGTATGTCTTGATGATGGCACTAGAGAAAAGGTCATAGGGTATTTAATATTAAAAGGGTTCATACTCTCAAAAGTGACTTCCATTAACTATTACCAAAAAACACAAAACTACCGATGGTCAGGGAGAGAGCATGCTTTGGGTTAAGATACTTAAATTATTTTGTTACAGTTGTGTAACCTTTATTGTCACAGTTAAGAGAAGAACTACTTAGTTATGGTTAGGGAACAACTGTGGTCATGGTTAAATAAAACCCATGTTGAGAGTTGCAACAGCGTGGTTGTGGTTGTATAATAATGTAACACCAGTCATGCAAAGGGACGTTGAAAATCCTGACTGTGCTGTTTTAAGGCATGAAAAAATTATGCCGTTGTTGTTTTTAATTAATTTACCCTTTATGCAGGTAATAACATTACAGATTATCAATGAAAGTAATTTCAAATCTTGAAGAAAATTTTTTTATGAGAAGATGTGAGTGCAGATTAGAAGTGACAGCATCATCTGATATCCCCAACACATGTCACAGGTAAAAAAAAAAAACTTTTACTGTAAATACAACACTGTTCAGTACAGTAAGTCAACAGCACTGCTGCAGTCCTGACACTAAGGTCTCATTAGGCAAAATAAGTGAGACACCTCAGGGTTTGGATTATAAGCATACAAGGTCTTCAATCTGCTTGCAATCTGCAATCTCACCACTAGATGCCACTGAATCCCAAAGAGTGGTCCTTCAATGTTGCGAAAGAAACCAACGTTGACTGTTTGTATGGGACAGGATGTGAACCATGGTTACTAAGACCAACTTGCATCAGTGAGCTTTGGATGACTATGACCCTGTCTCTCAAATCCTCACGCTGCCCATTCTTCCTGCTTTAACACATCAACTCTGAGGACAAAATGTTCACTTGCTTCCTAATATATCCCAGCCACTGACAGGTGCCATGATAACCAGATAATCAGTGTTTTTAATTAATTTTATTATTTAAATACATATATTTTAACAGGTGGCTGTTAAATGATTACCATGAAAGCAGTAATGATTCTGAATGTGTCAGAACAACCAGCTCAGAGACTCAACACAGTATAACATCACACAAGTCTTTTTGTTCAAAACACAGAATAAATCATTTCCAAAAACAAAGATTCACAGACTGATAGGAAAGCTCACTAGCTAGTGGCAGCAGCTCATTAGCAGTTAGCACATGCAGCAGTGCTGTGTTACAAGAGAAAAGGTCCCTGTTGCAATAATTCCCCTGATACAGCTCCTGTTTGACATTGTTTTTGTTTTTCGAATATCTGACTAATGAAAAGTGCATCAACTAAGACTAAATATAACATCAAACACAAACGTAACATAGGTTCCAACAAGTGACCAACGCTCTTGTTATTCTAGTGAGGGCGCTCTCTCAGATCTCCAGTTAACTTTGTGTTGTGTTTGCCTGTAACACTTAATGAGCTGTGTGTGATTCATCCAGGTGGTGAACCGTCTCTTGACCAAAGGCCATGTGGTCCTGTGCTCGGCCACAGGCATCGCCAATCCGCCCCCCCCCCACACACACACACACACACACACACACACACACAATGTCACCCGCACCTAGGTCTATGAAGCGTAATCACCCCATCTGTTATGCCAAGCTCCTGCAGGCCGCAGCCATCAGTCCCCTCGAGTCAGCACTGATGTCCAAATGTGTGTTCCTTCCCCCCCTGTCCTCCTCTGCATCCATCCCTCCCACAGCCAAGAGAGGAATAATAACAGCAACACTAACAGGGCTCACGCTGATTGTACCAATTTGTTCTGTGACTCAGTCTTTTTAATCTGAAGAACCCTGTTTGAACTAATTTTTTCCATTTGCATTGCATTACAAAGTCCTGAGAATGTATGTGTAACTTTTACTTGTAGTACAACTTTATAACTGTTTGATTTATTAATTTAAATATAGCTCACAGATAGCTCACCTGGTAGAGATGGCACCCTGTGTACCAAGGCTGAGTTGGCCCAGGGTTTGAATCTGACCTGTGTCCCCTCTGCGTGTCATAGCCAATCTCTGCCCCCCCTTTCCTGTCTGTCTTCACTGTCACTATCCATTAAGGGCAATAAAAGCCCCCCAAAGAAACTCATATTCAGTGATATGGGAGACCTCTGTTAGTTTCCTGGGTATTTTTGTAACTATGACAATGAAGTAGTAATTTGACCTATTTTAACTCGGTAATCTTTACCTAAACCAAACCTAGTTGTTTTAAATTAATTTCTCAACAGTGATTTGTTATAGTTTTTCTGAAGCACAGACATCATGTTGCCCTGACACGTCTCAGTGTCATTCTAAAAGCAGTTACACTGTGGCATATGGTTTGTCATGCAGAACCATTTGGGAAGTTGTCATTAGAAACTGTTAAATCCCTTTGATTTTAATCACCCTCTAACCTTTTTTCTAGTGCCACCATCAAGACAGACATTACATTATCAGCTCCAATGCTGAGCCTGGTCTCACCGGTATTTATGACCATGACATTTTGGATTGAAATCACGTTGTTTCAATAGCATTTCTGAGATCGGTGGATTCCCCTCTGGAGGTGAAGCAAATTTGTACTGTGTTCGTGCTTTGACATGTGAATTTGTGCGACTTACCAAATACCATCTTGACAAAGTTAGCTAGTCTGTCACTTGTTAGATAACCAGTCACCAATGGTTTGTTACAAGGAACCATCTGGGACGTCGTTGTTGGAAACTGTTTGGAAAAGAGCAGGCACTTATACGCAACATTTGGTAGGTGATTGGATGAACCGTCCATCTATCACCGTCTGTCATGGGTGAGCTTCAACCAATCAGATCAGTAAACCATATAACATAGTCAAACTCTTATCCCTTAGAAGAGAGAAAGATGGAGAAAAGCCTTCAGTGCTGTTCTTTACTCTTCTTTTTGAATGAAGAAATACTCTCCAGTTCTGATAGAACTGATGCTAGCAGCATCTATGCTAACCTCTTTAGCAGCCCCCATTGTTGTTTTCAAGCATGCAGTCACTTCTCACACACTTCCTCACACACACCTAGCGGGTGGGGCGCCCGCATAGCTCACTTGGTAGAGCTGGCGACCCATGTACCAAGGCTGAGTCCCTGCTGTCGAATCCTGCACTCATCCCCCCCCCCACCCTTCCCGTCTATCTTCAGCTGTCACTATCTATTAAAGGCGATTTAAGAAAAACAAAATCAGTGGTGATTATTTACCTGTGTGGAGCTACAGGCATCAAATTATGTTTCCAGGTACAGCATATGTGAAAAAAGTTGTATAAAGCCTTTTCTGTCTCAAGAGGGAACTGTGTGAAGTCTGATAAATGTCCTCAAGTGATGTCACTTGAGTCAGCATTGGTTGGGTCTGGAGACTTTGAAACGTTTGAGAATGAAATAAAATGAAATAATTCTGGTGGGTGGAGTTAGAAAGATGTGAGCTCACAAGACTTCTGTAGCTGCAGTAACCAAAGATATAAATCAAATATACAAATGTCATATATATAACTCATTCTTCATTCATGTGTGTGCAGGTGAAGTGTGACCAATATTGGCCCAGCAGAGGCACAGAAACTTATGGGATGATTCAGGTGACCATGTTGGACACTGTGGAGCTGGCTACATACAGTGTCCGTACATTCGCCCTCTTTAAGGTAAGAACTCTACTTGTATAATGCAAAGATGGAGTATGACAGTGTTTGACAGCAGACAGCACTACAGCCCCTTTCAGACATACACCTTGTAATGTTAATCTGATGGCAATTAAACATGTCGGTTTCCAAGTTGGCTTTGCTTTACAAACCCAAAAGCTCTGTCCACTAATTATGTATTATTAATAAAAACAGGCAGCAGAATTCATTATCTAATAACTAAAACGAAAACGACAAATAAGTTCATCGGTTGCCTGTAAGAGAACAAAAAGCAGTCTTCTTCCTTGCTATTATAACATTTTCAACTCACTATCCCCTGTCTGTCTCTCTCTCTCTTTCTTGAAAGAGAGAAAAAGCATCACTACAACTTACAGATGAAACAGGCAATGTGACAAATGTCAGAAAAGGTTGAGAGTCTAAGAAAATTGTGACCAGGCGCTTGAATAGAGAAAATATGGAAACTGTGCTTCGCTGAATGTTATGAATAAAAGTTTCCACGCCTTTATTGTAGATCTGATAAAAAATGGTTTGCCATTGATAGTGCTTTACCAATGTTTCCATTCATCAAGTGCTCTTTATTCATGCTTTTGAGTGCTGCTCGGTGTGCAATTGTGATGAATGGTAATTTCATCGTGAGAGATTCTCCAATTAATCAGTCTGATGATTGATCAGTCATTGCAGTGCATTTGTTAATTCATGTCATCAAATCATGGAATTTTCAGCGTGTTGAATCACATTTTTATAAATGTTGTGTGCTCTAACAGAATGGCTCGAGTGAGAAGAGAGAGGTTCGACAGTTCCAGTTCATGGCCTGGCCTGACCACGGAGTGCCTGAGTACCCCACCCCAACGCTAGCCTTTCTACGCAGAGTCAAGGCCTGTAATCCTCCAGACACTGGACCCATGGTGGTCCACTGCAGGTAAACTACCTCTTACATTGCAAAGTGAGTTGCCCAGTATAACACAACTTACCCATTGACAACTGAACTGTCGTGAAAAATGGATACAGTTTAATAACCTAAAAGAGACACAGATGGAAGATGTAGCAATTTGCACTGACCGGTCTTGACACTATTGCAATGCCAGTCCACAGACACAATGCATTACAAAGTAACACATTAATGTAATCGCATTACCTTCTGTCCTAAATTCAGTAATCACAAGTTCTTCAATTATCTGCATAATAGGACAATCAAACGTGTCTTTTTAAGCACATTTGAGCAACAATCTGTGGAGTGACTTCTTTGCTTTCAATGAGGAAGATACAGCTTCCTTCAACCATGACACTGAAGTCTGAATTTGAAATCGGGGTCAGAGATGGAGATCTGGAACCATTCCCCTACAATATCCATGAAATTCAACACAGAGTCATGTCTGGAGCGCCTGTGGAGAGGCTCTTTAGCCTGGGAGGTGTTGTGCTGACTCCAAGGAGGAATCTCACAATTAATCTGAGAGACTCGTCCTCATGATATACAACACTGCGTTAATGATAGACACGGTTCCTATAAGATCGGTATCTTCCAGACTGAATCACAATGCATTGGTGCCCCATTTTGCTTGTCGCTAGTTAACATTACAGCTGTTCTGTCTCTACATGGCTCCAACACTTGAAAGGACTCCAGTACATTGCGGGAGGTGCAACAAATGTTTAAAACAGATGTGTGTAAAGGGGTGAAGCATCTGGTGATTTAATGTTGTCAACCATCTTTTTTTTTTTTAAGTCGTTTCAGGCAGTGTTTAGGCACCAGTAAAGCTTTAATACAGATATTTATTACAATATCATGTTAGCACCGGTATGAGTGTCATTTGTGCATTGTACACAGCAACTAGCCCTGCTGGTATGTCAAGTTTTATAGCAAACACATCAAAGGAACAAGAGAGGCAAAGATCTAAAAAGTACAGTGCAGTTTTCTCTAGGCAGAGTGCTCCCTCCCTGCTGTTTAAGAGACCTTACCATCACTTTCTATGTGGAGAAGTCGGGTCAGTGATGTCGCAAAGTATCACCACACGCCATAATGAAGGGCTGAGGCAATACAGTAGCATTCACTACACAACATGTGTCTGGCATGGTAAGAATGTTCTTTGTTAGGATTATTTCACTAGAAACCAAGTTAGGTAAATTTGACTATGTATAAGCACAGTAGACAAATACATGATCTGAGAGCACAGTCTTTGTTCATTTTGGTGAACAGCGGCCACTATGGACACAAGTAACAACTACAGGACAGTGGTATACAGTAAAATGTAGTATAAAGGTGTGTTCAGACTGTACGCAAAGCAAATTTTCACCTCACCTTATTTGTAAAAAATTTACTGCTGGAGTGTTTTTTTCCCGCAAACAGCCGATGTGCACTAGGGTACAGACATTAGCTGTTTCTAGCAATGTACACAACAATGTTTTGTGTCCACTTGCTTCACTGCATTGATATTTTGATTAATATACAATCCCTGTCTAAAGTTTGCCCTACACTCAGTCTAAACACATTACTGTAATACTTACTGTACAGTAATATCTAAATCTTGAATCGCACTGTGATATTGGGCTAATAAAATGACACTGTCTTTCTAAAGTTTATTAACATTAGCAACAGAAGCTACTAGTTGTACAAGACCAAGTAAGGCCATAACAGCATTTATATACTGAACAAGTGTGTTTTTAATTCTATGAATTCAGCTTTTCATTTGTAAGAAGACTTTGGTATGTTTGCTTTAACTAATTCCCAAGATTTCAATTCAATGCATTTTGTTGTGTCATACACAATGCCAGGGGTCGTTGAAAGGTTTGATGAGAATGAAAATAATGTTAATCAATAGACCTTTTTCACAGCAGCCATTTTGACATGAAACAGTAGGGTAAACACAGGTGTTGATACATAATGATACTGATTAAGGTTCAGTTACATTCTGGCCAAATAGAGTTAGAGTGCTGCTATTGTGCATGTAAGCTCACTGCAAAGGCTCTGTTACACTGAGCAGCTGTCCTGGAGAAGTCACATAAACAAAATAGCTACAAAAATGGAAGGAGGGGTATCTGTTATCAGAAGATGATGCCAATTTCTCAGTCCAAGTTGCACCCTGCAGGTAATACAAGACACTATTGATTGCTGCTCAGTTATCTGGTCAGGAATATCTTCAGTTAGTGCAGAACAGAGCAGCACAATCAGCACTTCACCGCTCAGTAAGCGTAAATGTAAATAAAATGCATGCTGATCTCACATGGCTCAAAGTTGAGGACAGGTTCAGATGTACTTTATTAACTATGTTAAGAAATATAGTAGCTTTGAAACAAAATATTATTCTTCTGGAAATACACGCAGTAATCAAACAAGGCAAATGAGGAGGAGTCCCATTACACTACGCCCAACCAAACACTAATGAATATCTAACTGGAACATACTTATACTATACTTTATATGTATGTTCTTTACATGTCAATTGATGGAATTGTTCTTAATGTTTTAATGTTTTGTATATGTTCGGTTTGATGTAACTGTATTGTTTACTTTATGTATTTTACTTGAATATGGACCCCAGAAATATTAGTTATTGCCAAGGCAACAACAAATCCTAACAACAATAACAATGTTTCCTCTTTGTGCTCTATCAGTGCTGGTGTGGGCCGGACTGGCTGCTTCATTGTGATCGAAGCCATGCTGGAGAGGATGAAACACGAGAAGTCAGTAGACATTTACGGTCATGTGACATGCATGCGAGCTCAGAGGAACTACATGGTGCAGACGGAGGATCAGTACGTGTTCATCCACGAGGCGCTGCTGGAAGCTGCAACGTGTGGCAACACAGAAGTCCCTGCCCGAAACCTGTACGCCCACATTCAAAAGCTCACCCAGATCCCTCTTGGAGAGACTGTCACCGCCATGGAACTGGAGTTTAAGGTTTGTTTTTGGTTGTTTGTTTTCAGTTGAATGGGGAGTTTGTACAGCCTAACAGTCTTGTCAAAGTAGCACTCCAATCACATACCGGGTCTGTGTTTGTTTTGCTGGACTGACTTAGCGATGCAGCAAGGTATTATGAAATCAAATGGCTGTTGTTAAAAATTGCATTGTAAATTAAAAACTGACATTGTAAAAGCATAATCAATTTTGACCATGACCAAATTCTCCCTCTTTTGTTCAGACTAGATGTCGCACTAGAGCACCACCCTCTCAGACCAAAACAAATGAGCGAGCACTGTGACACACCAGACTCTATTGAGACAAAATGCAAATTTTACCTCCCAGATTGTTCAAACAGACTTCATTCAAACCCAACAGAAAAAAAATAAAACTCACCAAAACGGTCTTTCACTGTTCCAAAAACAATCACCAACTTTAAACTTTGGTGTTTAAAGTTGAAGCTGTTAGATGTGGAAAATGGGCTGCAGTGTAACAAGATGGGCGACAAATACGCCCATCTACTAAAAGTTATTTTTGCCACTGACAGGCTCAGATTGTTCTTTTAAGTGTCTGACGACGTTATGGAAAGGATCACTATGGAGATTGAGCTTTTGTTTAACCAGAACCAGCTGTAATATTATATTGATCGCCACCAGAATCCACAGACAAAATTACTTTAGCCTTGCCGATAACTGATTGAACTGTAAAACACACTTGATTCAAACTCACCAGAAACAAAATAAAACTTAGCACAACCTATGAAAACTTAATGTCTGTGTTTGAACCTGAACATCACGTTTTACAGTTCCTCTCTCTAAAAACGTTCCATCAAATCTTGCCAACATGTTCCTGGTAGCCTGGCTGGCATTAGCACCGTTGAATTTGATTTAAAGAGCCTTTTCATAGCAGACATTTTGATTAATTTGTCTTACCAGGAAAGGCACAGGTGGTACTAAATACATTAATGATGCTCCATTGCAGCAGTTAATGCAATTGATCGTTCATGTTATTAATTACACCTGTGTTTGACAAGTCAAGAAAAGTATAATGCAGGTATACTGCAGCTACTTGTGCCAGCGGTGGCCAGAGACATTATATTTTTGGGTTGTCCATCTGTCTGTCCCTCCTGTTCTTTTAAACGTGATATCTCAGGAGCGTCTTGAGGGAATCTTCAAATTTGGCACAAATGTCCACTTTGACTCAAGGATGAACTGATTGGAATTTGGTGGCCATAGCTCAAGAATCAATGACCATATTTCACAACTGGTCACCTAAAAACAGATTTTAGCCATAATTTAAGAATGAACTAGCTGATTCCAGATTTCACACACATGTTAACACAGAGTTAACAATACTACAGTACAGGCTTTCATTTTTCCATCTCCCCTTCCACTTCCTTCCTAATTCTAAAAATTTCAGGAAAAACCAAAAGCAACACATTTAGTATAGCTAGCTCTACATAGTAATCAAGAACATGTGTAATGTATGTTCACTGATAATGATAATTTCCATTTTTCACAACATATATGAGTCTGGACAGACATGGATTTAATCTGCAACTTGACTGGTTGGTGGCTGTAATGTGTCTCACAAGTCAACTTCATGGAAGTGCAATACTGAATGGCTGGAGTGCCCCTTTAACTGCATGATGCAGTGTGAGCTAGGGAAGAGGAAGGATTTTCATCTTCAGCCTGTTTAAAAGAGATGAACTCCTTCTTAGAGGAGGAGCTGTGACAGCCTAAGTTTTGAGCTTCAGATGACAGACGGAGAGTGAAGGAGTGCTGGGACAAACTGGATGTCTGACAGCCTGAAGATAAGGTCCTACTGGGTTAGGTGGTTTTACATGGGATGAACTGCAGCACCACCCCGTCCTCCACTCCTCAGCGATATCACAGTGATTTAACCAGCCCCATCTTGGGGGGGCACGACACAACTGCTGCTTGTTCATGGAAGCAGGATGGCTGTAAATCCTTACAGAGTATAATTCGGTTTTGATCCCCAACTCACTGCAAATTTCTTTCACAAACACTTCTCAAATTGACAGAGGATGCAGAGGAAGGACATTAGGGCCCATCAGGAAAGCAAGCCCCCCCCCAAAAAAAAAAAAACTGAGATGTTGCTTTCAAGAGTTCTGTTTCTGTCAGTTCACAGTAAATGTATGTCAGTTTGTTTTGACTTTTCATTGTCTTCAGAATGAGTTTGAACATCCATCAGGTTTTTATTTGAAGTCAAAGAACAAAGAGGATCAGCTCAAAGTGCTTAATTTTCATCCATCAATAAGAGTGTTAGCGCACCATGCTACACCTCATTCCACCAAGACTGCTTGAATTAGCACTTTAAAAGACCAGAGGCGGACAGTGGAGATGGTGGGTGTAGATATAAAGCTGCAGTGCAGTCATCTCTGGGCTGTGTCTCGGACAGACATATCCTCTGTCTCCACAGAAACTGGCCAACTCTAAAGCACATACCTCAAGATTCATCAGTGCCAACCTGCCGTGTAACAAATTCAAAAACCGCCTGGTGAACATCATGCCTTTCGAGTCCACCCGTGTCTGCCTGCAGCCAATCAGAGGAGTGGAGGGCTCAGACTATATCAACGCCAGCTTCATTGACGGATACAGGTGAGTCCACAGAAGTGATTTCACTGGCGAATGAGAAACACAGAAACAGTAAGGTATTGTGCAAAAAATGTCCAGGGATGGTAGTACAGAATCTGCTCAGCTGCTGCACCTCTAATGAGTATGGAGGTGGACCTTTTCTCTGGCAGCTGACAGCAGTAAATTACAGGCTGATATGGAGTCCATTGTTTCACTGCCTACCATCCCTTTGTTGTGGCAGTTGTCAAAACAAATTGGTCTTATTGACAGGTCGGTTAATTCTCTCCTGTTTTTTTTCCCTCTTGTAAATGGATAGGCTGTTGGAGATAGGTGACATGCCAGAGAAATGAACTGATTACTCCAATATTTCCAGTCCACAAGACATTTTCACTCATGGGCCTCAGGACACAGACATCATTTTATCCCTTTGTACTCAGTGAAATATCGACTTCTTTTTACATTCATTATAACCACATTTACAGACAGTAAATACATCACAATTTACTATTTACAGATTTTTAGGAATTCAGTCAGGACTACTTTTGTTAAAAGAAAACTTTATTTCCAAATGCAGATAGTATATTTGGTGGTATGGCCCTGTTCTGGGACCCCCTTGCCCTTCCACGCCCAGGGTAAAAGAGAGCAAGCATCAATTGCAACAGAAATGACATAATGAATAAATCTGATGCAACATAAAAGGAGGAGCTGGGGTGGAGGTGGGTTACAAAGCGGCTTGCAGGGGAAGCAGCAAAGGTAGGCAGGCTAAAGCAGCTTAAATAAGGAGCCCTGAATGACATTTACCAATTGGATGCTTGAAGGGATTGTATGTAGTTTTCCAATAGGAAGCTTTGGAAGAAATCAGCTGAGCCATCAGCTGATGTGTGTTTATGATCAATCAGCTGTTGTAGCTGGAGCTGAAAGCTGAGCTTGACTTCATGGCCTGCCTGAACTAACACTGTGCTCAATATGTTCAACATTTTGCAATTATTCACTGTCCACAGAGACTGTGTTTTTGGATCCAAGGGTCACGCCACTTCCCAACATTGGCTACTTGTAGTCATATTGGCTAACAAAAGGCTACACCCTCCTACAGCTGCGCTACACTTCCTGGCTGCAACTGATTGGACAAACACTTTCTGCTCCCAGATTTCAAACATGGTGGCTCATTTGGGAACTTTCTCTTATATTACAAAAATCACCAAACTATGTTGTTGCTGGATCTGTCTTCGTCTGTGTTGAAGCTGTTCGACCATTCTGAACTGCAGTGGCCACATACAGTACCTCTCCCTGGAACCACAGATTCTGTTTGTGTATAGATTCTCAGTGTATTTGTTTGGGACTAGGTTCAGCGGTGGATTTATCTACAATTGGTGCTCTAGTGACTATGTGGGGCAGCAGGGCGGTGCATATAGGTTGAGACAAAATAAACTACTGTGTGTGTGTGTGTGTGTGTGTGTGTGTGTGTGTGTGTGTGTGTGTGTGTGTGTGTGTGTGTGCATTTGTGCGTGTGTGCGAGTGTGCATTTGTGCGTGTGTGTGTGTGTGTGGGGTGTCATGGTAATAAAGGAACATGTAACACAACAGTGTGGCTCACTGACATGTGTTCAAGGTCTTATAAAGCAAATTATTATTTTAAAAGGGTTTAGTAACACAGTCATACATACAGCATCAGATGTCAGTAGAGAAGCATTATCTTTCATGAAAAAGCAAGCACTAATTGGAAATACATTCCAGTGCACTAACAGAGTACAAGGATGGGCTAATGAATTAGGACTTCCCCTTTTACTTGCAGTGAGGGTGGGTGTTCTCAGCTTGTTCTTGGCTGTCAGCACCTAATGAAGTCCCTCTGGGCACCCCCACCTAAGGGAGGATGGGGAAGGAGGCAGGGGTGTCCTGTAATCCCTCTCTAATTCCTGTTGCAGTAGTTAAGAGTGCAGTGAGATACAGGGAGCTCTAGCACTCTCTGAACCCAAGTGCACAGCGTGGATTAGGATAGATTGGGGGGGGTCATGATTATGATGATTTGTGGAAGTGTCCAATGACCTCTAGTATATCAGCTGTAGTCATTCACCTCACTGCCTGTGATGTAAAATAGAGAGTCAGACAGCAGGCTTACACCACTATATCATTACCTCTGTATTAGAGAACTTTAATAGAATGGACTCCCAGCTTAAACCACTTATTATCTTTTAATAGAGCTCTGTTATGGATCCCTTTTAGAATAACCTATTAACTGCACAACTGTTAATTGGCTGTAAGGTGACTAATATTCTTATATTCTTAATAGATTATTATTCTATTATAATACAACTTGCATTATATTGTTGGTTTGGTCATTGTTTCTGTCAATTATCAGTTTATCCACATTATTTAAACTAGTGTTTCTCAAACTTTGTACGCCACATAACACCTATTAATATTGAAATGGGAAGATACAGTGGTGTGACCAAAGATGAAAAAAACTGATTGGATATTGTGAGTTAAATGAAGTGGAGAGCAAAATTCATTACATTTTATTCTGTCCTTTTTTGGTAAGTATATTTTTTGGGCTTTTTATTGCCTTTATGATAGAGACAGCTGAAGACAGACCGGAAAGGGGGGCAGAGAGGGGGGATGACACGCAGCAAAGGGCCGCAGGTTGGATTCGAACCCTGGGCCACTGCAGCAAGGACTCAGCCTCGGTACATGGGTCTCCAGCTCTACCCACTGAGCTAAACGGGCGCCCATACAGTCCTTTTTATCATGATTTACAACAAATATTGTTTTAAAAATGTAATGTTCCTGATTTAGATCTGAAAGCCATTGAGAATGGAGCTTTAATGGACTACTTTTTGAAAATGTTTTTGCATTTTCTGAATATCTTTTCAAAGCAGTGTTTCTCAAATCTTTTACAGCGTGTAACAAATAAATATCAGGCTCTCCCAAGTACTGTTATTATGACCGATGTTAAAATACAGCAGTGTAGGCCGACCCTATTCAACTACAGACAGTTAACACAGGAGGCAACTTTATTCTTAATAAGAAAATTATTTATCTTGAACCAGACCTAATTTGGTGGAAAAGGGGTCCTCCTGGTCCACACTACTCCTCCCTGTAGTTACTGTTTGGAGCCACAATTGCAGTGATTTTTAACCGTTCATTTTACCTCCTCTCACTGTCTTACCATCACAGTTTAACAGTGACACAATGTGATGCAAAAGATAGTGGCTATGCAACTCAGTATGGCTCAGATAGTTTGATTTTATTTCTTTGGTTCTTAACCAGTTAGAAAAACAGTTTAGAGAGGAACCAATCTAAATAAAAAAGTATTAGTCACATTTACATTGGTCATATAACAAATACTTCAGATTTTACTGATGCAAAAATGTTAGAAACGATCCACCTGCACACATTTTTAAACAGAGCGATTTCATCTTCAACTTTTTTGCCAGTGCACTGATGCAAATCAGTGAATCTTACCATCCCTAGTGTGCACACAACTACAGAAAGTATAGAAGGTTAACATTGAAACAGGAATATCCTCCAAATTATGGTCAACCTGCAAAATGTTGCTGAAACAGAGGCCAAATGACCCCTGCTGCTCTGTGTGTGCCTAGGGGTCAATTACATCATTATCTGTCCAAACTCATCAGACTTCTTATCACAACATTACATTTCTTAGATATCAGAAATTAACTTTGTGAGTACCATGTTATTATGATTGATAGGAATCGTGGCCAAAACTAAGAAAATAAACTAGAATTATACTTCCAAGATCCGGGATTGCACCAGGATGGAAATGCATTATTATGTTGTCGATATCCACTCTGAAGCATTTGATTTAAGTAGAATGTTTTTTTCTACCCCTTACCAGACAAACAAAAAAACATATTGAGTGTATCCAGGGCCTGATATATCTTCTTCCTCTGTGCCATAGAGCTTAATTGTTGCAAAAACTACTTAAACCACATCTGTGAGCTGCACTGGCAACTGTGGCTCACGAAATACAGGTGGTTGTTTACTAATTGCGGGGTTGATCCCTGGCTCCTCCTGTCCACGTGTTGAAGTGTCCTTGACCAAAACATTGAACCCCAAGTAGTTCCCAATGGGACAGGCCAGTGGGTGACATGTTTCTTCATTACTATGAACAAACACTGTAGTTTATTTGGACTCAATCCCACATACAGTACATTGTCCTGCTGCCTGAAATTCTCAATCAAATACAGCATGCAGTAAAGTGACAAGTGGCATTTTTTATATTTAGTTGTTGTATTATGAAGTATTCAAATAACAATTCCAGAGCTTGTTGCACAGAGGTAAACCTGAAAGCAGGACCAAAAACAACAGTGCCTCCAGCCATCACTGGCACACACACACACACACACACACACACACACACGGATAGAGCACTGATGTATACAGATAACACAAATTCTCAGCATGTGTGCCGCACGGGCACTAAAGCCATCAGCCCCCCTACTACCTGCTTCAACACTGCCCCCTCTTGGGCATGTACCATAACTACCGCAGTGCATTGCCCAGAGCCGGGCTGAGCAGCTGGGATGGCATCTGTCATTTTAACAGCGCTGTTAAAAAGAGTCTGTGTTCAAGCAAAACGATTTAAATATCAGTGCACACATTAGCAACAGCTGACTCATCAAATTTACTTTAAGGAGCAGTGCAAAATTAAATATTTAACACCTGAGGGGTTCATTCAATAGTTGTGGGATGTCATTGCCTGCATCTATAAGCTATTAAAGAACTGTGGTGATGGCTGAATCCAGTTAAACTCAGTTTTACAATATTATTGCAAGCTCACATACTGTACATTTGTATGACAATAATAATATTGTACGTCATATGCAGATGTATATTAAAGAGAGATTGCATCTGATAAAATAACAAGCAAGTTTGAAGATTTTATTTTGATTTTCAGTTTACATATAAAAAAACAGCTGGGGAAAATGGGCGACTACCTTATGGACTAAAAAGCCCCAGGATCACTGTCCGTAAGCTGGTTATTGATATTACGATGGGGGACAATGAGCAGTGATTATAGTAATAATAGTAACTGTAGTAATAATACTAGTAATAATAATAATAACAATAATATCAGTGTTATTAGCAATGGCAGTCAAGCAGACTTTTATTTTGGCTCAAGGATACACAGAATGCATTTCAGCAAGTGGCACTGAATGCTTTTGTATGTTGGCAAGAAACCCTCACAGGGCCCGGAGGCGGGTGCAGTTCAATCAGTCTCTTTACTAAGGAGGCCAAAAATGTTGGGTGTTGATACCAATTGACACCACAGCAAAGGTTCCAGGTAGTTTTCTAGAGAAAGGCTGCCGCTGCTATTTGAGCTATAACATTATTAACATGCCATATGTAGGTTTCATACTGCTGTAGTGTTCATTGTAGCACATTGTATTTATAGGGACAGAAACATATTGCTTCCATGTCAGAAAAAGAAAAACTGATCAGTATCACGTTATAATGTGAGAGGTTTATTGTCATAACAAGATATTTTTCACATTACAAGATATTTTCATGTTTTTCTGACATATTTTTTTTGGTATAACAATATAGGCTACTATTTAAAAATAGTATAGTGGGTGGCTGTGGCTCAGAGGTAGAGCGGGTTGTCCACTAATCGGAAGATTGTGATTGGATCCCCGGCTCGTCTCACTGCATGTTGAAGTGTCCTTGAGCAAGACACTGAACCCCAAACTGTTCCTGATGCTGTGCATCGGTGTTTAGGGTGTAATGCTTAGTTTCCGTTCTGTTGAGCAGTTGGCACCTTGCATGGCAGCCACTGCCATCAGTGTATGAATGTGTGTGAATGGGATGAGTGTGGCATGTATTGTACAGCGCATTGAGTGGTCGAAAGACTAGAAAGGCACTATATAAGTACAGTCCATTTACCATTGAAAATAGTATAATGTAATGAGAGGAAAGGTTTATATGTCGTAATAACATTAAAATATCTTGTTATTACATAACTTGTTGTGGCAGTAGTACTCTGCCACAATAAGAATAACTACTAGTACTTGTGTGTATCAGTGCATAGACAACAGTTTTGCCAGATTGGGTAGTGTTCCCCCCAGTTTGGCTGCTTTGTAGTTGATTTGGCAGCTTGTGATAATCTGTGTATACCTAGATATGTCGTATGGACTAATAATCTCTCTCCTAAATGGAAATATTGAAAAACTGCTACTTCTACAACACTTTGTCATGTTTGAGGCTCTTATCAGACTGACAGAAAGCAATAGGAAAGGGGGACAATAGGAGCCGTCAGCTGATTTTTACCCTCAGGCCCCCAAGCAAGTTCATCTGGATGTAAACAAACTTCATCTAATCACAGCCTGGGCAAAACAAACTACATACCAATATGTTAAGGCTGTTTGATGACTGTTTCTCTTGACATAAATATGACCAGACGCCATAAGTTACCACAGCATCAGCTATATTTTTATTACAGTGAAATGAAATTCTGCAGCAGTACCACAGCTAGGGCCGAGGAGGAAGAAATAGAATCCAAATAACAGCAGTGCAGTCAGAACCCTGAGGAGTAAACACAGACGTGTTTCTGTTCCAATTTGCAGGCAGCAGAAAGCGTACATGGCCACCCAGGGCCCGTTAGCAGAGACCACGGAGGACTTCTGGAGAATGCTGTGGGAACACAACTCCACCATCGTGGTCATGCTCACCAAACTCCGCGAGATGGGACGGGTAACACACCTTATGTCATGTCATTAAGTATAAAACACATTGATTAAAATGAAAGCCTTAAATCATATAAAGCAGTTGATCATTCTAATTCTAATAATCAAGATATTGATTGCATTTTAAGATTTTAAACTATTTAGAATTTGGTTTAATTTTAGAATGATTGATCATGCTTTTTGGGGGGATATGAAATGCATCAAATGTTTACTAAATCTTTTCTACTGTTTTTCATTGTAAAAAAGATGACTGAACTTTAAGTACACTAAGTATTCTTCTATGTGCACTCACAACTTATGTGCTTAAACAGTGATATTTTTGATACTTGATGCTTAATGTAGTAACAATACATATAATATAATTAATACCACTTAACATATACCTTACTATAATTGAGACAGTAACTGTGCTATTGTGAAGCACCATTCAATTGTAATTAGGCCTAAGTATGTTCAATTACAGTGCTACAATCCAGCAGTGACCTGCTGCTATTTTATGTTAATGCCCTAAACAGAAGTCAGACATGAGATGAGATTCACCGCATCAGGCTCCAATTCTGTCCTCTTCAAAATAAATATAAAAACCAAAGGGAGGTGCCTCTGCCATCTATACTCCATAAAGGACATGATTTTAAATTATTATGCATTTTAAAATTCATTACAATTTCCTTATTAAATCTGGTAACAAAGACCTTATTTCTCTGCAGTCCCCTATCAATCACATATGCACATATGCACATATACAAATATACATATCACATAGAAATATTATATATATACATTTCACATATACACATATCACATGTACACATTTAACAATCACATATTCACATATGTACATATCAATATCAAATATACACATGTAACAGACACATAACATATAAGCTGTCTTTCTGGCTGGATTACTACCAACAGAATGAGCAACTGTCCTGGAGTCCCAGACTCTCAGGCTCCTTAAAAAAAACCCAGTTCACTGTGTATCAAAATAAAATTTAGTCAAACTACTACAAACCAATTTACAGATAGAAAGCCTAGAAGCAGGTAGCATAGGAGTACTAGTTATTTACCGGGCAAAAAATGAAGTTGTTTTCTGTGTGCAATGTACTTGGAGAGATTTAGTGGGGGTGGTCAGTAGGGGCCCCAACAGCATATTTTTGCCCTAAGGTGAATATGACCCTGCCTCCCTTAACAGTAACTGCCCATTTCACAACATGAATCTGTTGCTTTGATTTTGCAAGCTTTATAATGATAGTGGTTTCATTGCAGGTAAAACTCAAAAAGGCACATATTCCAATAACATACATTGTGATACATGTCCTCTCTCCATCGTTTAGGAAAAGTGCCATCAGTACTGGCCTGCCGAGCGCTCTGCACGCTACCAGTACTTCGTAGTGGACCCCATGGCTGAGTACAACATGCCTCAGTACATCCTGAGAGAGTTCAAAGTCACAGACGCCAGGGTAGGTTTTCCTCAGAGGCAGCAGGAAAATGGCTTCAGCTCTGCTCATTTTGACTGGAAAGGACATCAGTGTCACTGAGGGCGCTATTTTTATAACAGAGCAAACTGTTGGCAAAGTGCAGTTTTCAGTCTGTGCAGAGGTTTCTCTTTCCATCTGTGTCTTTTTAGCATTTCCTCGCACAATCCCCACACAGGCAACAGAGTTCACTGCTGGGAAGAAGAAGCGCTGATTTGATTGTTCATGACTGAGATCGGGTCTCTACATCTACGATGTACAGTATGCTTCCCCAAATTATACCAAAAATCTTCTACTATGCCCCATACACTTAGCATATGCTTTGGGGCTTGAAAACAGCCTTTAGTGTCTTTTAGCAAACTACAGACTTTCTAAAGTCTAACTAGTGGTTGGTAGAGAACTGAAAATCTACACTCAAATAAAAGTACAATTACTCTCATAAAAAATGACTCAAGTAAAAATGAGAGAAACCTACTCAAATAAGCACCTGGTTAACAATTTTATTATTACGTCAACCTAAAGGTCTAGTGTGTAACATTTAGGAAGATCTATTGGCAGAAATGGAATAGGATATCCCTAATTTTTCGTGAGTGTATAATCATCTGAAAATAAGAATTGTTGTGTTTTCGTTACCTTAGAAAGAGCTGCTTTCACTCCGCTTTGTCTCTGTTTCATCTCCACTTACCGCCATGTTTCTACAGCACTAGATGCCACTAAATCCTACACGCTCGTCCTTAAACTGCTTTCTAACGCACACCAATTAAAAGCCCAACGGACCACTAGCTACAAGACAGATTAATGTCATTATCATAACACCAGAGATTGAAAAATCAACATAGCTAACTACAATTTTATCTACAGTATGTGGAACAACTACTGGTTGTCTTTTTTACATTTTGGTATAAAAAAATGTCCAGATGTAGCCAGGGACTTTCCCTGGAAACTGCCTCTTGTTCTGGGTTTTGCTCGATTATCATCGCATCATGGTAGAGACATAGGTGGCAAAAGTACACACATTCTTTACTCAAGTAAAGACACTTGTGTATAAAAATAATCTAGTAAAAGTGGAAGTTCTGATTCAACTTTTAGACTCAAGTAAAAGTGAAAAAGTACAGGCTCTGAAATGTACTCAAAGTATAAAAGTCAAAAGTAGTTTCTTGGTTTTTCTGATGGATATTTCACCAGTTGTTTCTGTGCAAAGGTTACTGAAACTTCAAACAGGGTCCCTTTCTTGTCTGTTCCTTCTTGTTATATCTTTTTGGTTACATTGCGTCTGGCATGTATGATATGCACCAAGACGTGTAATTATGCAAAATAAAAATAAAATCAATAATTTCCCTCAAATGCATTAAAACTAAACTAACAAGCCTGTTTTGAAAATGTAGTACAGTAGTAAATGTATGAGTAAAAGTAAAAATTACAAAACTACAAGTAGAGTAATTAAGTATTTGTATTTAGTTACTTTCAACCTCTGAGTGAAGGAGCTCCGGCACGCTCATTCTTTTTCCTCCTGACAATTTGGGTGAAAAAATGTGTTTTTTATAACCACAGATACCACATAAGAAATGCCCAAAAAGGATCATTCATGTAATCTTGTAGAACACAAGATAATAGGGAAATAGGGAGAAAAGTGTGAGGATATTATGCCAGTCCCAATTTGCTTTATTTTTGAATTGCTCTTTACAGTTTTGACAACAAATACATATAAAATGATGTTAATTTGATGCGTTTATGTTAATGTGGTTTCTTTTTCAACTTTACTTTGCAATTGTACCTGCTATATACCTGTGTGGAGTTTGCGTGTTCTCCCTGTGTCTGCGTGGGTTCCCTTTGGGTGTTCCGCCGTCCTCCCACAAAGACATGCAGGGTTAACTGGTGACTCTAAATTGCTTGTAGGTGTGAATGTGAGTGTAAATGATATTTATGCACTGAAACTCGAACACTAATGTCTTGATTTCCAGGAAAAACTAATTATATTATATTATATTATAAATAATATAATTATAGTAATACTTTACTCTTTGGTAACATGCAGCACTGGACTGGACTGTAGATCTGTGTGAGACTTACTTACAATATCTGTCCACTGTCCTGTGTGTTGGTTAGGATGGTCAGTCGAGGACCATCAGGCAGTTTCAGTTCACTGACTGGCCGGAGCAAGGAGTGCCAAAAACTGGGGAGGGATTCATCGACTTCATTGGCCAGGTCCATAAAACTAAGGAGCAGTTTGGACAAGATGGACCAATCACTGTGCACTGCAGGTAACACATAGAGTGGTATTGGATCTCATTACCATCTGCAGGGGTTTCTTTTTGCCCTGCTCACCAGACATGAAGAACTGCTGCCTATAAAGGCCCGAACACACCAACCCGATTATCGGCCGTCGGACGTCGCCGGACAGTCAGGCGAGGTCGGTGACTCGAGTTGGTTCGGTGTGTCCCGTGCCGTCGTCAGTCGGCGTCGGTGTCAGCGTTCATTTTGGCCGATTCGACATGTAGAATCGGCCAGTGGCCGTTGGCCTCAATGACCAATCTGACTGGTAGAGTGATAGCCCTTGACTAGCGAATCAGTGAGTGCACGAGAAAACCGGAAGTGACGATGGTAAACATACTACGCCAACGCCAGTATCTTCAGAGAATGTCTAATAAGGGGAGAAGTTCCACTCTCGGTATACTTCCGGCTTCTGAACTGTTGCAGTTCCACTCTGGTTCCATATGAGGGCGCTCACAGGATGAGTGCAGAATGAATGGCAGCTCTATGGAGCTATACCCTCAAAATCCACTTTTCTCAGGATATCATTTTTTGTCTAGTAATTTGAATGTGGCATTCAAAAGGGGATGCAAAGAAATTACACATTGCTGGGTGTTTGATTTTTTAGAGTCACTTATTTGCTTTAAAAAGTCTTTTAAAATGTCAATGACGTCATACAAATCATACGGCCAGAGATACTGCTTTACGGCAAGTCTCGAGTCTCTTTGTGCTTCCACGCTCTGCTCTTCCTTTTCTCTCGAGGCATCGACAACACAGCTGACACAGGTTAGGCTCTCCCTGTCAATACACGTGCTAGAAAGAGTTTTTGTTTTGCTGTTTTAAACACCAAACCGAAATATTCATATTCCCGCTTCGGATGCCACGATGCCATCAAGCGGGATCTCTGGTTGTAATCAGTCCTTCACTGACCAATCAGTGTTCATTAGCAGAATGCTAGCGTGTTATGGGCAACAACATCTCAACCTGTAAGAAATCGAAAGGACATATGTACTCGTTCATTCAACTTTCGACCTATAACCCATGTTGAACTTGAAAAAACTACAATCAAATCTGAGATTTCTCAACGACAATCAGGTGAAAGAGACAAATTTAGCCGTTTAGCTCCATCTGCTCCCACTCATTCTGCACTCATGGGCGATCGCCCCCAGTGGAACTCTGGTGGAACTGCAGCCTGTGGCCAGGCTCTCCGTAGACGGGCTCTAGTATCTTGTTATTATTAGCCATTGTATTTTCCGTTCAGCGATTAATGACAATAACGATCCTTCTTGACTACTATCAACACTCTCTGATGAAAACAATGACTGACGACAGCGTGCTCTGTGTTTACTAGGTCTAGAGTGATCCATCACTTCCGGTTTTCATTTTTTTGGGGCGACAACACAGATTAGCGCCGCCTGCTGTTATGGGGACGTATTACGCCTCACGCACACGCAGAACGTACGCTCCAGTCGGCGTCGGTTTGGTGTGTTCGAAGACACTTTTTTGACCGACTCGGGGAGACGGGGGCCGACTGATCAGTCCGACTGCTTTTCTGCCGTCGGGTTGGTGTGTCCTGGCCTTTAGGTTTCAACATCAATCTCCTTATTCTCATAATCCCTTGTATTATGAGCTCTTTCCTTTAAAGCAGCACTGCAGATGATCTCTGTGCAGTTATTTGGTGCCTCGTATTCATTTTAACCTAACAAAATAGTCAGAAGAGTGTTGAGTTAGCTTGTCTTTTCTGAAGTTCTGTTTGTATCCTTATATGCCTGTACAGAAGCAGTTGTCAAAGTGCTGACTCCATCTGTTACCGTCTGGATCCTGTTTTTAGTCTTTATTAGATCTGGCCTTCAGATGTATATGTGTATGTGAATTTCTAATGAGTGTAATAATGTGTGTGTCCACCAGTGCTGGTGTTGGACGGACTGGTGTGTTCATCACCCTGAGCATTGTCCTGGAGAGGATGAGGTACGAGGGAGTGGTCGACCTCTTCCAAACCGTCAAGACGCTACGAACTCAGAGGCCAGCCATGGTGCAGACAGAGGTACGGTACACTGCCACTGGTGAGAACGTCAATAAGAATAGAGTATGATGGGGGTAAACACAATACAGCTGTAAAAATATTAACAGGTTAAACTGAATGGTTGATTTAAAAAAATACGAGGATGGGCTTGTAATGTAATCATTACGCAGTGGTTTAGGCACTGTGTCTTACAGGTTTATGTATGGCTGTTGACACATAGTGACAGGTGAGGGCGGATTAGGTCATGTGATGTGACATACAACACTTGAGAATTGGCTACACAACAGCACATTAGAGCATCCAGAGCAGAAACTGACTTTGAACCCCATTTGCACAGGACTAGTATGACCAGGGGACCTCATGTTATTTGGAAATTACCCCCACCCCAACGTCTCTGTTTTATGTGTCATGTAGAACATTATAGGATTACTATTATTACTGTGTAAGCAGCATTCTAAACACTGGTTGAGGTGGAGTGTATTTTAACTACTTCACCTACTGTTGTAACAATGCATTGTATGTTACAAGATGATCATATGTTTAGTATGTAGATCCTAACTCTGCAAATGAAGCAGTAAGTACAGCTGTCAGATAAATGTGGGGGAATAGGAGGTATAAAGAAGCATAAAATGTATATATTCAAGTAAAGTACTTTAAATTTGTCTGCCTGTGGAGCAGGGCTTTGTACAGGAAATGTATTAAAGCAGATGTCGAGCTCAAGATGAGTAAACTCTAGCTTCATTCAAAGAGGTTAAAACTGAGGTTACTTGGGTTTACCCCCCACTAGACCCCTGCTCTGTGGCTCTCTCACAGTCCAACAGCTAGCTAGCCAACCTATTTATCAGTGTAGTAAATGGCATCAAAACAGGAAGGAATTGGTGAAGTAGTAAAGCTTGCCTCTTGACTCTCCACCTTGTGCTAAAAAGTTGAAAATATCTTTTCTTTGTGCCTAAAACCGCAACGCGTGGCGCAAGAGAGGAACGCGCTGTACCACAGGAAAACAATGGTTTTACAGACAACAAAGTTTGTGTAGCGATGAGTCGCTCCCTTAATCTGTATTTTTATATTAACAACAGATTATATGACTACACTACACAGTGTACAGTTACACTGGCTGGTGAACACAGTGGAGCATTTAGCAACTAAAGAGAGATATTTTTCTCTGGAGTTGTTGGAAACCAGAGCTAAAAGCAGAGTGAATATTGGACTTTGATCCGTCATGTGGACAGAATCTGATTTCAAATGGATGTTGCTCTGTGTCTGCTGGATGTGTAAACAGGCCAGTGTTTGCAAATCCAGTTACAAATTCAACTTAAAAGTTCATGATATATCAGTGTTGTGTTCACAGCTGTGGCCAAAAAAGTCAGTTTAAAGTAAATGTAGGCTACGGAAGTTCCACCACTGCACTGGTTGAGGTTGCGGCGTAACTATCATACATGCAAGGTATGCAGTTGCATCAGGGCCCGCAGCAGTAAAATGTGTGTAAATCCGGCTTCCTAATTGCAGATGCATACAGACAGAAGGGGCCTCAGGTCGTCTCTGCTTTCTACCAAGCTTTGGGGGGAAGCAGGAGGGAATCAACGCTCTACATTAAAGCAAAATGGGAAGCAGAGTTACAGATTCAAATAACAGAGGAAGAATGTATGAGAAACAATGTACATCCAAAAACTCAATAGTAAGGAGACAATTCTGCTAGATTTTCTTTCTCATACACCAAACATAAGGTCGTATTGGGAAAGTGTTAATGCAGTTGTTAAAAATGTTTTGGGATATAAAATCCCAAATACCTGCCTTGTAATGTATGTTGGGAACACTGAAGAAGATGTGATTTCTACTTGACTAAAGTTTAACTTGCAGCAAGTGTGTGAACACTCCTAAAAAGGGAGAGTGGCTGGAAAGTGTGTACCTTACTATATTATTTAATGTTTTGATGTGCTGTTCTCTTTAAATCTGTGTGAAAAAAATCAAATAAAATTTGGACTTCCCAATTGCAAACTGACCCAAACATTGTTCTTTGTCCCCAGGACCAGTACCAACTGTGCTACCGGGCTGCTCTGGAGTACCTGGGAAGCTTTGATCACTATGCAACATAACCCCACACAGAAAGACACCCTCAGAAGAGTTCCGCGTCTCCTCTGAGCCACATCCACTCAGCTCTGTCAACCCCTGCGGCCTGATGAGGAGGCTGCGAGGAGGACTGCTGAGGAGGTCACCGCAGCAGGAAACGGGAGATTAGACTAGAGGGAAAGGGGAGAGGGGGACAGGATGACCTCCTCCTGGACTGGTGCCATGATTCTGCCACAGAAACCCCCCACCCTGCACGCACACACACACACACACACACACACACACACACACACGTGCACACACACACGTGCACACGCACACACGCACACACGCACACACACACACACACACACACACACATACAAACATCCCAAAAACCAACCCTCAATGACTTGTATTCTGATTCTTGACTGAATACTTCTGTCACTCCCCAGTTTCTGCCTCCTCCTACTAGCAAAAACTATTTTTCTGCTTTTTTCCTTTATATCCATCATTACTATGTTGTTCTGAATATTTAGAATTTATTTTGTAATCCCTTACACTGGTTATTATATGTCTTAATTGGTCTTTTTTTAAATGTGCTTATCTTTTTATTATTTTATTAGCACAAAGGACATGTATTTTCAACATGCTCCGAGTTATTAATACAGGAGAGCGTATACTCACAGCTGCTAATAATTTGATTTTGTACCATAGATATGATACTCTAATGTTATCATTACTCAGTTGCTCTTATTTAGGGGGAAATGTGGGTTTTAAAGTTCAACTGAATGATCTAGCAAGCAGATCAAATAAAGAGACGTTTGTGAACCGCAGTGTGAAATAAACCTATAAACATGCAAAGACATTTGAACTGCTAGCATGTACAGAGTTTCTTGTCAATCATTGTTGACTAATTTTCTCAAAGCCCGCAGAGATCTGGAGACTTTCAACAAAAGAGATATGAAGCTGTCGGAAAGGTGGTGTGCACCATACTGTCAGTTCCCCTCTTAAAGTGGACTGAACACAGACAGCCTGTTCTTGAGACTTTTTGTGAAACAAGTGTGATCACATGCTCCATAAATGAAAAAGGAAAGAATCCTTTATGACATCAGGCAAGACAAGATTACACAAATTATGACAAAGTGTCACTAAGAGCATTGGACCAGGACACTGGATATGCAAATGTTGTTTTAGTTTTATCCTTTTTGGACAACAGCAGAGTTCTATGGCACAGAGGAATAAGATCTATCAGGCTTTGATACACACACACAGTACTTGTTAGTAGATACATTCATTGTTGATTTGAGTCTGAACCTGGGATTTGTTAACATGGGAAAAGCTTTGAATATCGTAGTGGTATCGTCTGGTTTTTGGTGCTCATACTCATTTCACAAAAAGTCCAGACATTGTGTTGATACAAAAATAGCCCTAACTGAGTACCACCATTACGTCATGGACTACATACACTGCACGCAACATGACTCTGACAACATACAGGAAGTGATTTAGTGATCTGCACACATTTCTGACTTTCCCAATTATCTTACAACCCACACCTTTCTGTTTGCACACATGGCTTTACATAGACAGGACACAGATACACTGGATCCCCTTTCATACTATATTACAGCTCAACTATTTTATCACTGTGTTGCAGCTGGACTAACTAAGAGCAGCATCAGTGTTCAGTGGTGGATCTCTGAGCTTTTCACTGGATGAGATGACAAAGTGAGGTGGTTGTGGGTGAAGATTCATTTCACAGAGTCACGCTGTAGGGGTCCTAGCTGTTGTATACATGATCTGTTTTCTATTTGTTAATAAAAAGCAGAGAAAATGTCTTGAAAACCTTGATGTTAATAAAGTTATATAATTGGGTTTTTAATAAAACACTTGTGGAATTCTTTTACTTCTCAGCCCAGTGAGAATGTGGTGTGAGGTGATGCTCAGCGGACCCAGAGATTACATTTATGCATGTTGTAATGAGCTTTGCAAGACAGACATTTTACAAACGAGTGCTGCGAGACTATACGTTGTGCACAACGGGAACACATTCCTGATCCTGAGGGACTTTTTTTTTTTATATTCCTGAAGGAATTATTTCTAATGCAAACGAACCAGTGTTATAATGCAGTGCTGGAAGAAGTATTTAGATCCTTTACTTAAAGCCCCTACAAGTTGATTCTGGCGGTCCCTGTGGTCAAAGGCAGTAGTGTTTCCACCGCCTCCTTTCATTGATTTCAAGGGGAATCTGACCAGTTTGGCAGACATTAAGAATAACTACACAGAAATAGACAATTTTCTCATTAACGGTGGTTTGTTTATGTAGACTGCTCAACTTCATCCAAATCACTCGTTTTACACTGACTTACTGCAGTTATTGTGTTCTCTGTTTGGGTGAACACTTTATCAGTTGTTCTCTACTGTTATTGTTATACATTGAATATGAGATATCTATAAAATATGTCACTGAGTTTACTCAATGACAGAAAAAGGTCTTCCTTAAGGACACAATGTTGGGAACTACTGGTATAGGTCACACAGGCATCAGTATTAAATTAAATATCATGGAGTTAAAAAAAAGTCCTGTATTTTAAAAAAAAGCAAAAATGTTCATTATCTGCTAAATGTGTTCAAAGTATCAAAAGTAAAAGCACTTTTTATTCAGAATGGTCTTTTGCAAAGTCTGAATACTGATTTAAATGGCTGTGTACACCAGTTTATTAACATTATAAAGCTTCAGACGCACATACAGTGACTGAGGAACTTCTTTTTTAATCCCTGTCAGACCGGAAACCTGGTGCAGCATTATTTATCAGCTGTGCTCTCCACTCAACAGTCCGACGCATGGGCAGGAAAACAGGGCGTTGTGATTGGCTGGGGGACTACGGAAGCCCCTCCCACTGAGCTCCATGTAAACAAACACACACTGGGCATGCGTCACTGGAATAATGGAGGACTGTCTTTTCTACCCGGACTGATGATGTCTGTATTTCTACTCTACTACCTGTGATCTGAGAAAAGAACAACTCGTCGACATTTCAGCGTGTGTAAGTCGATGTGTGACACTTTAGAATCAGTTTGTTTGCAGGAAGGTGGCACTAACTCAGCAACAAGCCGCGGTGGCTCGTCGGTTAGCTGAGAGCGGAGGCAGCTGTCAGATCTCAGTCCGCTACTCACAGCGTTAGCTCAGGGAGTTATTACCGGGGCGACTCGCATTGTGTGTACATGTTGGTGACTTGCTGTTTATCGCCGGATATGAAAGAGGTTGGGTTTTTGTTGACTACACTTTTGATTCCCGAGACGCAAATCAAGCTATCTTGCAGCTAGCATGCTGGCTAACGGACTAGCTAAATATTTTTGCGAGGAGCAGCGCTGTCAGTGGGCCACGGTGTGTGACTGACGTGGTAATCAGCCAATCCGAGACTGAGGATCAGAGCTAATCAGGATTGTATCCAATCACCGTTAACGGGCGCCTCCCCGAATCTTTTCCGAATAACGTTCAAGTCCGTAATGGCAGAGTTGTTACGGTATGTTGCCCGTTAGCGAAAAGTGCATCCTCTCGGCTGGTGAACTGGAATCTAAAATATCTCTGTAATGCACATCACGTGAGTAATGTAGTCACATTGGAGGGCTATGAGAGAGGGAACTTTGGTAATGGTGGTAATGGTGGTAATGGTGGTAGTGGTGGTAATGGTGGTAGTGGTGGTAATGGTGGTAATGGTGGTAATGGTGGTAGTGGTGGTAATGGTGGTAGTGGTGGTAATGGTGGTAGTGGTGGTAATGGTGGTAATGGTGGTAATGGTGGTAATGGGATATCTGTAATTGTTTGGGTGAAGTTGTTCCAACAAATACAACAAAGCTTTCACGAGCCAGTGTTATGACTCTGGGCTGTCCAGGCAGTTGATCCATCACTGGTTTAAAAAATGGATTTCAGGTATAGTGGCTTCTGTTCTTCTTCTGTGGTCTGGGGTGGATAAATAAAGATTCGCAAATCTGGAGCAGGAGTCTGTGTGTTAATGTTAATCTGATGGAGGGCCTGTTATAATGTGGTTCATGATGGAGAAAGACAGTCATTTTGTCCTTTTTGCAGCTTTTACAGATTGACTTGTTAACCCTGTCCAGGTTTGAACTAGGTGTAGACTAGATGACATGTAGTTTAACCACATTGATCGGTTGGCTTTTATCACCGAATTTATTGTTGCGTTCTTTCTTTTCAAAATCTTTACACTAGATTGGACAGTGGACAGTAAACGGGGACATTATCTAGAATGTCAGAGTGGACTGGTCTCTGGTTTGACAGACAGAACACATGAACCAGAACAGTACCACAAACCCACCTTTGCTTAATAATACCAAAAAGTATTATCCCTTTACTCCAGAATCTAAGAACAACTTCAGCAGTGTGCTTGATATGGCCTGTTACTGTCAGGTGTTGACACAGAAATAACTGATGCATAACGGGTTCCAAGCTCAACGAGTTTAAGAAGAAACTGCTCTAAAGTGAGTCAGACACTGTCAGACATGTAACCTACATGTTTTCATCATCATTATGTCCATGTTTTCCACTATTCAGAGTCGAGGTGGAAAGAACAACAACCTCAAGATGACCACAGACCCACCAGCCCAAAACCTGGGCACCAGGATAATGACGTTCACCCCCTCCAAAGAGGAGTTCAAGGACTTTAGCCGGTACATTGCCTACATGGAGTCACAGGGAGCACACAGAGCTGGAATGGCAAAAGTGAGTGGGGTCTGTGGTACTGACTGATTGTTTCTCCTTAAATGAATAATGTGTGTTACAGCTTATACTGTATGTAGCTGGGGTAATGCTGTTTAATAATAAAACAGGGCGTCATTATTAGCCATGCTGCTTGGCTCAGTAGTCAGTAGTTCATAGTAATTAGCCAGGCACATTACCTGAACCACAGAAAGAGAGTAGCAGACACTTGTTGTGAATCTTAGTGTTAATGTGTTTCTTATTTTATTTTATGTATTGTTTATTTGTACAGGGACAAGTATGTAGCATAAACAAATGCCACACACACATTTATAGCCTAAGATAATTTGCAGTTCTCGTCCCTAGATCAGCCTTTTAAAATACTGCAAACTCAACAAATACACAGTGTGGTTTTAGCACTTCCTGTGGCTGCTTCACAGTAAAGCCTTCCAAAGTAGATCATCGCTCTTTTCTTTTACTGTTAAATAACTGCACAAATTGTTAAGGTTGCTGTGGCGGCTGCACAGGATTTAACTGAATGAATCCACAATGTGTCAGTGTATCAGTGGGATTACTCGTACTCTAATAGATCACATAATGTACATCTCTACGGTAGGGCTGAATGATTAATTGCATTTGCGATAATATCGCGATAGGATAAAACGCGATTTTCTAACCGCAACTTGCGCGATTACAAGGTGGTCACGTGACGCGGGCGAAAGAGTGGAGAACTCGGCTGCATCAACTTTTCATGCTGCCATTTAACCTGTTGCGCAATGGCCTCTGGCTCAACGGAACAGTCAGAAACTGACACAGCTCAGACTTTAGTCAATAACCGAGTTCATAGCCAAAGATATGATGCCTCTCAGCACGGTGACCAAGCCTGGGTTCATGGCATTGATAAATACGCTTGATAAACGGTACAGTATACCCTCCCGTTGGATCATTATGGCTGGCAGTGCCATACTAATAGTGAACTTTAGTCTTTTTGGTGTGTTGTTGTTGTGTACTTGAGATAAGTGAGGTTGATCTATATTATAATATTCAAATTGTTTTTTTTATTGTTTTTATAGAGGAAAATTCTATGTTTCAGTCGTGTGAGATGTTACTGACTTGGGAGCAGTAAGATACATATAATTTTAAATTATATTTTTCTTAAGACTGTAAATTTTGCACAGTGTTTACAAAGTGCATGCCTTTGTTTAAATTACTTAAATGCACAGTGGCAAAGCCACAGATGTTTCTGTAATGAGCAGTTCAATAAAAATGTCATTTATTTCAAGTCATACATCTTTTAATTGAATTCTAACAAATAGGCACAGCCTATGGGAAAGAACATTTTACACTAAATGTATCTAACGTTGTGTTGGTCATATGTAAATCATTCATTATGTTTTGTTGGGAAAAAAACAGGATAAAAAAAAATAAAAAATCGTCCAGCCCTACTCTACTGTGCTAATTCCATTATTCAATCCGGCAGTTCATTCTAATTGCATTTACTTTGACATTTTTTCGATCGCTGTTAAGCTATTGTCAGAGGAACTCAGCACTCCTTGCAGGTGTTTCACATTAAAAGCCTACCAGGAAATGGACAGTACCTGTTGTCTTGATAAATTTAGGATAATGTTCCAGTACTCACCACTCTGCTGCTCTCAACTTCTCTTCTCGAACAAAATAGCTGTTTTCACTCTGTCTCTGTCCTGTTCTTGTGTTGCAGGTTATTCCACCTAAAGGCTGGAAACCCAGACGAACATACGATGACATCGATGACCTGGTGATTCCTGCTCCCATTCAGCAAGTGGTGACGGGCCAGTCAGGACTGTTCACACAGTACAACATCCAGAAGAAGCCGATGACCGTCCACGAGTTCCGCAGGACCTCCAACTTGGACAAGTCAGTTTACTAACTGCAATGTTTCTCACACAGTGACAGTAAGATTAGAAAGCAGACAGCCTGGTACTGTATGTGATTTAAGTAAGCCTGTCACTTTGAGTACTAAACGAGCTCATTCCTTGGACTTAAAATGGTTTTCACTCAGTATCTCAAAACATTTCTCCCTGTAGGTTTTGCAACCCCCGATACGCAGATTTTGATGAGCTTGAGAGGAAAGTTTGGAAGAACCTGACCTTCAACCCACCTCTTTATGGGGCTGATGTCAGTGGAACGCTGTATGACCCAGTGAGTGGTAATGGGTTGCATAGATCCACCAACTGGAGCTTCTATCAGTTCATTGTGTTACAATACACCATTCAGCTTAATGCTCACAACCATCTCTAATCATATCTCGTTCTCCTGATCAGTGTCACTGCGACTTACAACCTCTTCTGAATCCCGTCTTTACAGGATGTGACTGAATGGAACATTGGCCGTCTCAATACCATTCTGGACACTGTGGAGACCGAGAGCGGGATCAAGATCAAAGGAGTCAACACACCGTACCTCTATTTTGGCATGTGGAAGAGTGCCTTCGCGTGGCACACAGAGGACATGGATCTGTACAGCATCAACTACCTGCACTTTGGAGAGCCAAAGTCCTGGTACAGTCAGCGCCACACCCTCACACTGCTGGACAGACACGTCACACATTGTTCCTGCTGTTCAGCTTCTCACTGCTGCAACATCTGTTTTAATAACCTAAATGTCAGATTTAAAAAAAACCTATGTGTCTATATGCAGACATACAGTGGTGTGCAGATGCAACAATGTGAATGAAAAACATCTCACAAGATCACTGATTGGGAGATAATGAGATACATTCTTCTGTTCCTCTTTAATAACAGGATTTCAGTGCTTTACAGACAATTTACCCAAAATACCCTGGAAAGTGATGAAGATAAATCTGCAATGATTAGTCCCTTTAATTGAAATGTTATTAATATGTTTACAGTCATTCACACACACTCAACATTATTTTGGAACATTAACTTATTGTTTTTCTTTCTTTTGTCATTAATAATTGCAGTTCTGAAATGAATAATCCTCAACTATTTTGATAATCGATCATTATCAACCAATCATTTTCCCAGCAGAAATTGTGTAGAAATGTGAACATTGAACATTAGACTGTTGGTTCCCCTTAAACTCATTTGTCACTATTTTATGACATTTTATAGACTTAATGATTAATCAAAGAAATAATGTGCAGGTTAATCTATAATGACATTGTTAGTTACAGCCCTAGATATTTGTTGATGAATGAGTTGGTGGTTCCAGCCAACGACAATAATGCTGCAACAAATGATGACCTTCAGGGCTCCAGAGGGCGACCAAAATTTTTAACAGTGCGACTAATAATTTTTCTAGGTCGCACTGGTGCACCAGGGTGAAAACATAAATTTATTTCGCAAGCGCATCATCTCTCTGTGTTCTCCTGTGACCGAACTCACACACTCATGGTAGGATCATATCGTGTTCTAAACCAAAAAGAGACAGAGCTCGGGCGGGTCTTTGCCTCTGATTGTCTGTGGTCCTGGTCACCTGTGTCCTGGTCTTTGCGCGCTACGTGTGCGAGAGTAGCTGACTAACTGAAACGGAAAAATAAAATAAACGCAACAAAACGAGGGAAAATGAAGAGAGGCAGAATTATTGAAAGTTTTTTCATTAAGAAAACCAAGCCTACAACCAGCCCTACTACTATAATCCCATCCATCCCATTAGTAGTAATCAGGTCATCTTTTATTTGGAAATGTTTTATTTTGCTTAGTGTTTTAGTTTGAAATGTTAAACTTCAGCTCAGTGAAGCACTTTAAACACTTTATTTTTCTTTTTATATATAATTGTGCTTCAAATAAAGACAAGCATTTCTCTACAGCTTATTCTTGTTTAAAAATCATTCACATTATATGAAAGTTATGGAGAGCGATAAAAAGGTGACCTTACGGCGTTAAAGGCGACGCAATGAAAAATGTGGGTGCACCTAAATTTTCAGTGCAACCAATGCAAAAAGTTAGTCTGGAGCCCTGCCTTTTGTGAAGATGGGAATGTTCACCTGTATTTAAGAGGAGTTCTTGTTCTCTGTGATTATTACTTACAATCTGTCACAGTCATCATTGTATTTGATATATTTGTGCTTCTGTTGCTCTTCAGGTATGTTGTTCCACCAGAGCACGGGAAAAGACTGGAACGACTAGCCAAGGGTACGTGATGGGTTCTTGCCGAACTTTAGTTACAACAGACACTCAGCACATTTGTCTCTTCATCTTCATCTTGACAATGAAGATGCGACAAGTCACTTGAGCTCATCATGCTCAGTGGTTTTAAAGAGGAAGTCAAAACTGCTTTCAGTCACCTTCTAGGCTGTGTGGAAAGTACCTCCGTAACAGCAGTTATGTTTAGATGTCCTCTTTAACACAACACACTGTTGGTTGTTGTTGTTGTTGATGTTGATTATTTCCTGTATTTCCAGGTTTTTTTCCAGGGAACGCTCAGAGCTGTGAAGCCTTCCTTCGCCACAAGATGACTTTAATTTCACCCTCTATCCTGAAAAAATATGGCATACCGTTTGAGAAGGTGACCTTTCATTTACCTTGTGTTGTGCTCATGACATTATGGAGAAATACAGTAACGTCTCTTCTGTGGGTTTAACAATTTGATTGATTATTATTAAGGTGAGACACACACACAAAAACATCTTTTTTCATTTGCCTATTTGAACTTAAAATCCCTGAAAAACTATAAAAAAAAAAATAATAATGGTCTAAAGCAGTGGGGAAGTTTCATGGTTAAAATGTTTCCCTATTCACCTGTAGTGTCTCTTAAATAATGATGAGATGAAAAAGTAGTGGAAAGTTTCAGCTCTTGTAATTGTGTTGCTCTTATATCCAGGTCACCCAGGAGGCTGGGCAGTTCATTGTGACGTTCCCATTTGGCTATCACGCTGGCTTCAACCACGGATTCAACTGTGCTGAGTCGACCAACTTTGCCACCCAGCGATGGATCGATTACGGCAAACAGGCCACACTGGTACACAGAAACATAATTTAAACAGCTGTGAATGTTAATCCAGTGGTTTTGGTAACACCGAAACAAGACTTAATCTCCCACCTGTAGTCTTTTTTTTTTGTTGTTTTAGTTGTGATCCACTTTATGTTAACACTGACTTATTTACCATTCCCTTGATAAGCAGTTGGATTTATTTGTAGATCTTTTGAATTATTGCCAAAATCACATATCTGTCATCATAAAATCTCGTATCAGTGTCAGTAGCTTTACTGTCTGAGTCTGACTGGAAGCACACTGAGACCCTCCTTTTAAAATGGCCTTGGTCCTGTTGTTGTACACACGAGAACTTGATTTTTACACCAAACTAAATGAACATTGCATTGTTTTGTACTGCTTTGAGTAGCATAGTCCAAACCAAACTAAAAGTGTTGATCTTTGTATTCCTCCCAGTGTTCGTGCCGTCAGGACATGGTGAAGATTTCCATGGATGTGTTTGTACGCAAGTTTCAGCCTGATCGTTACAAGCTGTGGAAAGCAGGGAAAGACAACGCTCCCATCGACCACTCCAAACCCACTCCGGAGGCTACTGAGTTCCTGAAAGGAGACAAGACCGAGCCTGTGAAGAGTCCCAGTGAAGCTGGATCTGAGGAGCCCACTACACCAGTCCAGGAGGACAAAAGGTCTGGATTTACACTAACACTTCTCTTACACTGTCATTCACTGGTTTCTCCACTGTAGATGCGACTCGTAGGCCATTGACAATCCATTTATTGTTATGAAATACAAAATACATGAACAAGTTTTACTTAAATTGTTCACATTACATAGTTTTGTCATAAATTACATAAACACAGTCAGTTATTTTAGTCAAAAAAATGAATGAAATGCCTTCACTCTAGAGGTGTAAATTAGGAATCACTTTGCTGATTCAAACTGTTTTATGGAGTTCAGTTTAACGATTCGTGGTCATTGACTATGAAATTTGTTCACCTTTTTCCTAAGCTAAGCAATCACACCTCTGTTTACATGCACTTCAGAATGTACAAAAGTAAGTGAACGCATCACTGTTCATACCATGGCAACAATCAGTTCTGATTCTGAATGTCTTCAGTTCAGTAGGACATTCAACTAAGTTAAGTCAGTTTATTTATATAGCACAGTAGGAAAACAACGTGTTTTTTTACACAGTAAAAAGAAGAAAGTACAGTGTTTGACATAAAAACACAATGACACGTATTAACATACTTAAAACACATTGGAAAATAAGAAAAAAATTAAAGCTGCAAGCAGCGTTGGGCGGGACCTCGCACTCTACGCAACTCGGGGTGTGTTGCGGCTGCGTCACGTGCCGTCGTAACACGTGCGGACCACAACATAAAAATTTCACGTAGATCTGCTCAGAATCGCCACACAGTGCTTTCTTTCTGTTGCCAGTAGGTGGCGCTATCACTATGTCTGAAAATATTGTCATGTAGACGTGTTCAAGGCAGGACTATTATAAAACACGTTTCATCAAGATTGGACCACGTACGTTGAAGTTATGAGGACGTGTTCAGGGCGAGACTGTTAAAGAATATATAAAGTTTATTGGAGATGGACATTGCACACTGAAGTTATGAGTGCTGTTTTATGGCGAATTGGCTGAATTCGACAAGTCGTCACTGGCACGGGGTTTGACGTACAGTCACAAATAGCTCAACTTTTCATCTACAGTTTGTATTACCACAGAATTCAAAATGGCCAACTTTGACGGCATGCCACGGACACGCTCTTCAACGTACATGCACAAATAGCACAACTTTTAATCAGCAACATACTTTGACTGTACAGAACAATTTTGAAGCCGATGTGATAAATTCCCTAGGAGGAGTTCGTTCAAATACAACCCGAAAAGTTCGCCGAAAGTGAAAATGAAAACCAAAATGGCCAACTTCCCGTGGGGTTTAGGGTATGGGTTCAAGAGGCTTTTTTGTACGTCTCGGCATGTTACACATGCCTACCGAGTTTCATACATATCGGTGAAGCGTGGCGCCAGGGCTTCTTTTTTAAAATCCTGTAGGAGGCGCTACAAACACGACAAACACGATTTTTTGTATGTGAGCTACAGGCACCAGTCTACACGTGCCCTGTGAATTTCATATTCATAACTATTACGGTCTCCGCACAGTGATTTACCATGCCACCAGAGCGCCACCTAGTGGCGGATTGTTGACACATTTATTAGTGAGCCTCAGGGAGCCATGGGCAAGCATCATACCAAGTTTCGTTTTAATCACACGTGCTGATGCGGAGATATAAACTTCATTTTAAAGAGCGCCACCTTGTGGCGATGGCCTGAAATTAGGCGGAAGTGGGCGTGGCCTATATGGGGAGATTCAGCTTCATTCACCGAACGCGTGTATATAACGTTTTTGAATGTGCGACAAACTATGCAGAAGTTATTAGCCTAAACGCACTTTTTATGATAGTAGCGCCACCTAGTGGCCGGCCCGAAAGCGACGCAAAGAATATCCAATTTTTCACCGGGCCTGACCAGTTTGCCAAATAAAACAGAGTTTTCGTATATATTCAGGCGGGCAAAAACGCAGTCAAAGGCGCTAAAAATAATAATAGGTAAGAAGAAACACAGCAAAAACAATAGGGACCTTCCAGTTGATACTGGCTCGGTCCCTAACAAGTGGATTTTTAGCCTGGATGTAAAACATTCAGCGGTAGAAGCTGATCAAACATGTAGAAGGAGGCAGGCCCAGCTACAGAAAAAGCACATTTACACCTTAAACAACATAAGACCTCAGTGTTCTAGGAGGAGTTGGGCATGTGATCGTTCTGACATATGCTAGAGCTAGCCTACTTACAGCTTAAAAATCAAAAGTAAAATCTTATCTATTAATTCTAAATTTTACTGGTAACCAGTGCAATGACAAACATTGGATAAAACCAGAGTGATATGGCACGAGTAGTTGCCTTCAGTTCAGTACTAAACTAGCCTATACTCTACAAGCACTAATAAGATTTACAGCTCAGCAGCCAGCTATTTGTGACTGTTATGACATTATGATTGTTTCTGTGGCTTTTGCAGTCTTTTAATAACCTTTATAAATGAGCCACAGTGACATGGTGATTCAGGAAAGTCCGTTCACTTCAAAGATTCTCTGTTTCACACAGAAAAGTCGCTTTGCTGTCACTAGTTTAATGTCAACCAGTGTTTACCTTTGAGTCCTGTTGGACATGTTTTTACTGAAGTCTCCCATGCATCAGTCCAAAGCCTCAGACGGGAACAAAGCGTCAGCTTGAAGCTATTGAAGCCTCCGAAGACATCAAACCTGAGCTTACCATGAAGGAGACTGAGGAGGTGGAGCCAAAGAAAGCCAAGCTGTCACGTAAGGAGTCTCCGACTAAAGTCCCCATCAAGCCAGATAAAGGTAAAGCACAGTTCGTAGTTTTTATCAGCTTTTGTGTTAACCAAAAAAATAAGTTCAGTCTAAGAGTAGAAACTAATCTTCAAACCCTAAGAAAAGGTTTTTTGAATAACAGTATGTTTATAATCAGAGCTTTTAGAGTTGTGTATTGTGGTGATACAATATGTATCACAATAGAGGGGTTATAATTCTACACATTGTGATACTGTAAGCAAGGCTATTTATTGCCTTTTCTTTTAATGAACATGCAGAGAATCTAAGTAATAAAGTTTTACATTTCTATGCAACCAGAGTAGTTGGAGCTGCATTTTTTTTTTTTTGGCCCCTTTTTGACCCGATTGCCTATTTTTTCTTGAAATAATAATAATAAGTGCTTTGGTGTTATATCTTCTGGAGTTAGATCAATAGCCCTACAAGTGTACACTGCAGAACCATAGGTAAATGAGACATAAGTAATCCTACAATGGACCAAAGGACAAGGTTTTGGTTTAAATTGTCAAAAATCTGCTGAACTTGAGATTACTTTTAACAAAGAATGTTGTGCCAGCTGGTAGTGTAGTGTAGAGGGACACAGATATTATGACATTGTGCAATTTTGTCTCAGGAACAAACTAATACACATAGGGCTGCAACTAACAATTATTTTCATTTATTGTGTTCAGGTTTTTTTATTTTTTTTTATTTTATTTTTTATTTTCTCGATCAATCATCGTTTAGTCCGTAAAATGTCAGAAAACTGTTTAAATGTTTACCAAAACCCAAGGTGACTTCCTCAAAGAATTTGGACATTAAAAAATGAGTCAAAGATCGATCGATTATCAAAATAGTTGGTGATTAAATTACAGCAGCACAGGGGCTCAGTGGTCTTTCCCAGCTGGGGGCAGAGCCTTTCTGTGTGGAGGTTCCCCGTTCTCCTCATGTTTGCGTGGGTTTCCCCCTCCATCAGAAAAATGTGTTAGGTAGTTCTCCTGTCAGTTCTCTTAACCACGACACTGCCTTAGATCTGGGTGCTGTACAGTGGCTGCCCACTGCTTCTAGTAGTTAGGATGCACTGTGGATGATATGATATATGGTAAATGTGACACTACAGTTGATTCTGTTCCATTCTATAATAGTCGATCATTTAAGCCGTTGTCATCAATTGTTGCAGCTCTATATGTAATACACTTAGTATCAACAGTTGCAATAATGTATTTCATTGCTGTATTGCTTTCAGACACAGTGAAAATCAAGCCGGAGCCTAAGAAGGAGAGAGACACCAAGCTGCAGACTAAATCCCAGTCCAAAGCCAGCACCAGGAAAACTTCAAACAGACGAAGCCCTTCAAAAAAAGAGAAGAACGGCGTGTCGACTGCAGACATCGGTCCTCTGGAGCCCATTGAGAGTGAGGCGGCGGCCCCCTGCTCCGAGGAGGCGGGCGGCAGCGAAGAGCCTCAGCTGGGCAGCAGCTGCAGCCCGGCACACAAACTGTTTCAGAGGACACTGAGCCCTGCGGACGTCCTACATGTTCACAGCTACGCCAAAGGAGACTACGGAGAGGGAGAACCCCTGCCCAAGGAGGAAAAGAAGAGTGAGGGTAGTGACAATGAGATGGAGAAAAACAACAGACACGTTAGCAAAGCAGTGAGTGGACACAGATATTACACACATTTAATACTGTACTTTGTTAATGGACCATAATTATGGCATTGTTCATGTCTGAGCCTCTCAGCTGTAAGTTGTGTACTCTTTACATTTACTATTGATTATTTTAACAACCATTGGTTCACTTCACTTTATACTGTCTGCAGGGTCTTAAAAGTAAGCCTTAAAAATATATTGGATTAATGGAGTTAATCTTACCTACTTTACTACTACTACTACTTACTTACTTATTTACTATAAAGTTTTTCAGTAGGGAGAAATGTGTATTGATCATGCTGTAACAACTACAAAATGAATCAGTCATGGAACTCCTACTTACTATACTGATTTTTCATCATAACCCTCATACTGCTTTTGCCAGTATGGACGTAAACTAGTTATTTAAGCAACACTAAGTAAGGTTGGGTATTTGTTGCGATGGCACCCCCAGTTACAATCCCACTGTGGTTAATAGATTTACATTTGTTATTATTACATTACTTATGATCAAAAACTAGCGACTCAGGCAAGTGCAACAACACCAGACATAGCAAGCAGCTAATATTACTGACTAGTCCAACAGCAAGAAGGCTAGCTCACCATCTGTCTGCAGCCTTTTATTTCACCAAGCTTTCAACAACCAAGTCCTACATTTACTCTTGAACAACAGCTTCTCTCTCCTTTTCTCTTCTTAGCTTCTTCCGTGTCCTCTTAGGTCTCTTTGCCTCTGCCATTAGCTGTTTCCACAGAAGCTGCTGAGCCCAGTTACATTGCCCGCTTGCCTGGCTACAGTTGTTGAACAACACCAGCTTTGCTCTCCGTCAGTATCCCTACCCCATCCTAGAGGTGGGCGATATATATCGTTTGCGATAATATCGTCATTGTTGTTTTGACGATGTGCAAATTTCCATTATCGAGTATTTAAATTACTTCGCCAAAAATATTGGAACGCACGTGGAAACTCCAACTTAATACACGGTGCAGCAACGCTCTCTACAGCATGGCAGGATTCAGTCACATGACTAGTGGGCCTACATGATCACATGACATGATCACATGACCTCTCGCTAGCATCCTCCTTGCAACAGTTTAGCAGTGCGTTGTGATGGTAGAGAGAAAATGCAAACACCTCCAGTCCCTGAAGCTACCGGTACTTCAGATGATTAGTGCCGAGACGTGGGTCTACCTCTCTGGCATGGAAATGGTTTAGTTACAAAAACAGCGGCTACATTTGGCAGCAGCTAGTTTACTGTCCATCAGAAAACTAAATTTACAAAGAGTTGAGGCGGAGCAGCTGGAGAACATCAGAGAGAAAACCAGAAAACATTTCCTCCATCAATTTTCAATTCAATTCAATTTTATTTGTATAGCACCAATTTATAACAGAAGTTATCTCAGGACACTTTTCAAATAGAGCAGGTCTAGACCGAACTCTTTAACATTAATTACAGAGACCGAACAGTACCACCATGAGCAAGACCTTGGAGACAAGGGCAAGGAAAAACTGCCTGTTAAAAGGCAGAAACCTAGGACAGATCCTCCGGCTCTAGGTGGGTGGTAGTCTGTCTCGACCAGTGAGGGTGAGGGTGAGGGAGAGGGAGGGAGAGAGAGAGAGAGAGAGAGGGAGAGAGAGAGGGAGAGAGAGAGAGAGAGAGAGAGGGAGAGAGAGAGGGAGAGAGAGAGAGGGAGAGAGAGAGAGAGAGAGGAGAGAGAGAGAGAGAGAGAGAGAGACAGACAGACAGACAGACAGACAGACAGACAGTTGCACAGCAACAACAGTAGCAACAACTACACTAATAGTAGTGACTGATGATGATGAACATGATAACAGCAACAATGGGAGACAATAAGCAGTGACAACAGTAACAACAGTAACCGTAGCAATAATAATACTTATAATAATAATAACACTAATGTCAATGATATTAGCAATGGCAGTCAAGCAGGACCATGGTAGGAGGCTCCACCAGGATCCATGAGAACCTGCGAGACGAGAAAGCACAAGAACTCCGGGGAAGAAGTGAAGTTAGTAACATGCATTAATGGCACATGAATGAGTGCAGGAAGAGAGGAACTCAGTGCACCATGGGAAATCCCCCGATAGTCTAGGCCTATAGCAGCATAACTAAGGGATGGTTCAGGACTCACCTGATCCAGCCCTAACTATAAGCTTTATCAAAGAGGAATGTCTTAAGCCTACTCTTGAATGTGGAGAGGGTGTCTGCCTCCCGAACCACAACTGGAAGCTGGTTCCACAGGAGAGGAGCTTGGTAACTGAAGGCTCTGGCTCCTGTTCTACTTTTAGAGACTATAGGAACCACAAGTAGCCCTGCATTCAGAGAATGCAGTGTTCTAGTGGGGTAATAGGGTACTATGAGCTCTTTAAGATATGAAGGGGCCTGACCATGAAGAGCTTTATAGGTGAGGAGGAGGATTTTAAATTCTATTCTACATTTTACAGGGAGCCAATGCAGAGAAGCTAGTACAGGAGAGATGTGATCTCTTTTTCTAGTTCCTGTCAGTACTCGTGCTGCAGCATTCTGAATTAATTGGAGCATCTTAATGGGCTTATTGGGGCAACCTGATAATATATAAATATGATACAGTTTCACCAAAATCACTGACATAGTTGGTGGTGTGTTCACCTGTGTGCTCACTGCCTTGAGACACTACAGAAACAACACCTAAAGACAAAATAAAGATGGTAAATACTCACTGTGATTAGTTATGTGGAGCACGTTTTAAGTCAGTAAGCAGGAATGTAAAACTACCAGTGTGGTCTTTTTGAAAAACTTCCTAACAGTAGTTGTGTCTCTCCAGCAGGTGGCAGAAGAGTTGGCTGAAGACGGAGAGCTAGAGAGTGATCTAGGGCAGCTGCCAGGCCACCATCCGCTCATAAAGGATGGCATGAGTGATGAAGGTCTGTCTGCTACAACTTGAGGGGGATGCCGCACTTAATATGGATGCCCAACATGTAGAAAGGTGTTACCTGTAGTCGCTATTTGACCTAATTGTGTTAACTTGGTCGTTGTGCTTGTCTGTGCCTCAGAGGCTCCACAGGAAGCACCTCCGGTAGAGGAGGGTGGTCTGGAAGGGGAGAGCTGGGCCAAACCTCTGGCCCATTTGTGGCAGAGCAGACCTCCCAACCTGAAGAAAGAGAGGGAGTACAACCAGCGCATCGGCTCCAAACCTCCATACTGCTCCATCTGCATGCTGTTCCACATGTACCAACAGGTGATCTGCACCACAGCACACTCCCAGCACCAGTTGCCCCCGACCTCTATTGAGCTACACCAATATATAGACAAAGCATTATAGAGAGCAAAAATGTCTTTTGTGCACAGAAATACCTAAATAGTGCTCAACATAACATTGATAATGTCATCATCATCTCTGTGATTGAAACATTTTTGAGCATTTTTAACAAAAAGTGTGGCGTCTGTGTTGTCTGTCAGACTGAATGTGCAAACAGTGTAGACGGTCCTGTCATGGTGGCTGTTGGGCGGATGCGGACCAAACCTCTGATCCCAGAGATGTGTTTCACCACCACCACAGAGGAGGACTCTGAATGCGAGGAGCAGCCCGTCACACCTCACCTGGAGGAAGACGGGACCAGCCTCCTCATCAGTTGCTCTCAGTGCAGCGTCCGGGTTCATACCAGTCAGTACACACACACACACACACACACACACACACACACACACACACACACACACACACACACACACACGGTTGCAAATATGCACAGCCTGTATGTGCATGAACAGAGTATGCTCACACTAACCCACTCAACTTTACTGGTCTTATTTTCTCAATTTTCTGCTCTGACTAACCACTGCCTGAAGGTGGCAGCACATGCTAACAGACCTTCTTATAGACACACTACAGCAGCGTGTCAGACTGTGTCTTTGTGTTTGTATATTCCAGGCTGTTACGGTGTGGATCCAGCCAGTGTGAGCAAGGAGTGGAAGTGTGCGCGCTGCAAGGCCAACGCTATGACTGAGGTCAGTGAAATCTCCCCAGTGGATTTACTCTACCTGCTGCCTTGTTGTTTAATTGGAGCCTTCTTGGGGTTAAGTGTCCACTCTAATGGTCCACTGTTAACTGATCTACATCTCTTGTACTTCACCAAAAATATCCCAAAATAAATTAAAGAAATGATGACATGAACAATCTTATCTGTCTATATATCTATATAATTGTGATGAGTCTGTAAAGGAGTCAAATAATGAGTGCAGAGGGGTCCTGCACCCAGCACATGTGGTACTGAGATACATCACAGCTGTTGGCATTTGGTAGTCTGAAAAAAAATAACTGCAGTTTATAAATGACTATCCTCTGGAGTTTTAGATGGAACACGTACTGTTATATTGTGTTGCACTGGAGATGTATATAACAACATAATACAGCCATAAGTCATATATTAAGCTGTTTGACCCACATTAACGTGAGCTTGGCAAAGCTCAGTGGATATTCAAGAATGTATAAAACCATAGTTCTGTGTTAGCTGTTGGTAATTACCTCAAACACATTTCCATGCCAGTGTAGCTGTAGTCATTGGTTTTAATACTGGCTGCAAATAAAATATACTCTTAGTTGACTGCTACTAGCTACAATAATGGCTGATTTTGCTCTTTGCTGTTGGTGATTGATCACATGTTGTTTCTGCAGAATTGCTGTTTGTGTTCGCTGAGGGGCGGAGCCTTGCAGAAAGCCAACAACAACAAGTAAGTTGTTCTAAAATTATACTTTTTCCTTTCCCAATGCCTGTGCAACATCTGTACTTTGAGATTGGTTCTTTATGCTTGATCTGGAGAACATTAACTTATTCAGCTTAAACTGGTTTAAAGGACTAAGCTGCCTTAGCCTTAAAAATCAACCTGTTTTTCTTTTGCTGTATCTTTTAGCTAACAATGGTGAAAACAAGTATGTGAACAAGTATCTCCAAAGCCATCAGTCGTATTTAACAGGAATCAGCTGTCAATCCATCAACACATTGTCACATTGTGGATAAATATCATAAAGGGTGAATGAGGTTCCTGGAGAACCATAGAAAAGAATGAGGCCTGTAAACCATATAATACAGTACTTAAATAACATCACAATAGCACACAACAGAAGGACCAGAAACTTCTAAAATCATTACATTACACTCCCTGTGAATAGAATGTGTGTTTGTGTGTGGCCAAGTGTACTAATTAGTTTCAAAGTGATTTATAAAACGGACAGAATAAGCAGCTTACTGCTTGATGAAGCTAGTGTGTGTGTGTGTGTGTGTGTGTGTGTGTGTGTGTGTGTGTGTGTGTGTGTGTGTGTGTGTGTGTGTGTGTGTGTGTGTGTGTGTGTGTGTGTGTGTGTGTGTTGCAGGTGGGTACATGTGCTGTGTGCAGTGGCTGTGCTGGAGGCACGCTTTGTCAACATCACTGAGAGGAGTCCTGTGGATTTAAGTGGAATCCCTCTGCAGAGATTTAAACTGGTGAGAACACTCCCACTTATACTCTGGATGATCTACTGTTGCATTCTAATTTACAGCTGGTATTCAGGTAGTGTGGGAGCCGGCATGAACAAATACAGGCAGAAGTAAAATCACCTGTTCTGAAAATGTACAATGTACAGCACCATCCGTACAACCAGTCATTTTCTTCCCTAATTACCTGAATGTTGATTAAATATGTATTAGACACAATGAAATAACAGGTGTGGCCTACTAGATTTGGCACATGTTCTTTTTAACAAGCTTCTTGATCCAAATACTTAAGGTCCAGACCAAATGCAACACAAAAGTCACTGTTCTTGGTAGAGCAGGAAATATTAAACTATACTGAGATGGTCAAATATATCTCAAAACTTCAGGTGTACAATGTGGGAGATTTCAGGTATAAAGGCTCAACTCAAATTAACACTGGTCCTTGTGTGTTAGCTTCACCACCACTGATTCATTTGAAATGCGCTGCGGACTCCTATGTTTTAATCTCTGACAGAAATGTTACTACTGTAAGAAGCGGATGAAGAAGGCTTCTGGCTGCTGTGTACAGTGCTCTCATGGCCGTTGTCCCACGGCCTACCACCCCACCTGTGCCCAGGCTGCCGGAGTACTCATGCAGCCAGATGAATGGCCCTTTGTGGTCCACGTTACCTGCTGTCGACACAAAGGCCCCACTCAGATTGAGGTAAGGAGCCGCTGAGGATCCGGTAAACTCTTCTTTAAGGATGTACTGTGAACTAGAGATGGACTATTAACACTTTTTCACAAGCATTGTCCAGTATTGTTACATTAGACTGCCCCAAGGGTCAGAATACTGAAGCAACAATGTAATGTCCTGTGTCTCCTCTGACAGCGCAATAAAGCAGCCATGCATGAGCTGACTGTGGGACAGAAGGTCATATGCAAGCACAAGAACGGACGCTACTACCAGTGTGACGTGGTGCAGCTTTCTAAAGAGACCTTCTATGAGGTCAACTTTGATGACGGTTCCTTCAGCGACAATCTCTTCCCGGAAGACATCGTGGTAGGGGTCGCTATTTAATTCAATCTTTTTCTTTTCATTTAAAAGTGTGTTCACAGGAAGTAAAAATCTAGAAAACCTAGTACATTAATCCTCATATCAATGTAGTTTGGTCTGTTTTGACTTATGATTGTTCACTTCTGTTTAATTTACTGCCCATCTAGATATTCAACTGCAACTGTGAGATTTTCTGTATTTTCTGTCCATCAAGGACTTCATTTGTTGTACTGTACTGGCTTTCATCACATATTGTTGCAATGATAATACCCCAAATTCTCAATTAGTGGCCTTTATGGACCTCAGTGGCCTTTATTTGGTGGGATTATATTCCAAACAGGCCTTTTTTTTCTAATTTCCCCAGTTCCCCAGTTAAAGCAAACTCAAAACTTGATCCTTGTTTATAGGGCTGCATGGAATAGTTTGAATCTTCCTTCATAACGTCAGCTTTCAAATCAACTTTTTTTTATTTTTGCTGGTCTATTCATTCTGCTTAAACCCTGTATTTCTGCACAATTGCTGATAAAGATTAGGCGACACTAATATTCTTAGTATTTGGGCCAATTCAGACCAAATCATGCACTGTGGTGAAAACATTCCTTCCTCCCATTCATTTTAAATGGGACCCCTATCCCTGCAAAAATGCATGGACCTGTACAAGAGAAATTGGAACAGAAGGTTTGGAGAAACGCAACCCACACTGTAGTAAAACATCAGCAAGTGTTTACATTGATCAGGAGTAGGAAGAAACGAGAGCGGCAAAGACTGCTTTTATATGAGAATTGATATTTTCTATATTTGATTTGCCCATGTTTAACTATCGTACCACAAATTAAACAGTTTCATTTTAATAACTTAACTTTAATTTGGCATGTACAGGTAAAGTAAAGTTTTCATTAACACTTCAATTTAAATTCTGCGTCTGCAAGTGCAAGGGAAGAAAAGGTTGTGTGTGAGTGTTCAGTCCACCATACACACCTCACAATACAAAAACATACATTTTGTTATTGTCCAGTTTGCTCAGAACTCTGCAAAATGTTTTTTGTTTAGAGCCGAGACTGCGCTCAGCTTGGACCCCCGCCCCAGGGTGAAGTGGTTCAGGTGCGGTGGACAGACGGCCTGGTGTATGGTGCCAAATTTGTGGCAGCTCATGCCATCCACATGTACCTGGTAAGACTATTGTTTGCTTTGTGTCACATAAAGTTTGACTAACCTATTAATATCACAACAGCCGAAAAATTCGTAATCTAAAGAACACAACTGAATTGAATTGAATACACTGAAGTAATCGAGAAGAAGTAATAACTAGATTCAGCTAGACTCTAGCCCTCAGCAGAGTACAGATCTCTGCCAGGTGTGTCTGAGAACATGTGGGTGCGGAACAGAGTGTGCATACATAGGTTTTGATTGGTTGGTAGACTGATTGGATCCTAGTTAACTTGGCTGTTTCTTTGTAAAACACTGACATGTCACAAGGCTTTACCTGCAGTGATTGTGAGCAGGTCTCAGGAGTCCTCCCTACTGCTCCTAACCTCTCTGGTTTTAGTGATTTGAGTACTAAAGTTAGGATTGACACACCCCTCATTTTAACGAGTCTGTCTTAACTTGGCAGTCAGGAGCTACGTTTAGTCCTAGAATGTTCTGCCTTCTATGTTTGGAAAGAACTGTTCCAGCACAATCACTGCACACAGAAGCTGCTCACACTTCTCAATTGCTCAATATGTTTGTTTCCACTTTTGTTCTGAAGTAATGTGATGTTGGCTGTTGACTTCTCTTCAAATCATTCCTTATTTTTTTGTTCTTATTATGAAGTTGGGCTGCAACTAATGATTATTTTCATTATCGATTAATCTGTTGACTATTTTCTTGATTAATCCATCAATTGTTTGGTAAAATATCAAAATGATGAAAAATGTTGATCAGTGTTTCCCAAAGCCCAAGCTGACGTCCTCAAGTGTCTTGTTTTGTCCACAACCCAAAGATATTCAGTTTACTGTCATAGAGGACTAAAGAACAAAGAAAATATTCACATTTAAGAAGCTGAAATCAGAGAATTTGGACATTATTAAGTTGGAAACTTGGCTCAATTCGTGTTTGACTGTAATGCTACATGTGTGGAATGTAGGTGGAGTTCGAGGATGGGTCACAGCTAACAGCCAAGAGAGATGATGTCTACTCTCTGGATGAGGAACTCCCCAAGAGAGTCAAATCCAGACTGGTAAGTGCAACCCACACCACACACACACACACAGACACACACACAGACACACACACACACACACACACACACACACACACACACACACACACACACACACACTCACACAGAATATTTTTTGGTGAATGATGTATGATGTTTGTGTGATGAAAGATGTGTAGAAGGTGTGGCAGTGCTGTCATGCAGTCCTGTGTTTGTCTCTGCAGTCTAAAGCGTCAGACATGAGATTTGATGGGATCTTTGAAGAGAAGGAGATCATCAAGGAGTCAAAGAGACAAAGGGTGATCAACTCACGTTACAGAGGGGACTACATAGAGCCTGTGATTTACAGAGCCATCATGGAGTAACCCTCGCTCCCTGTCTGCTCACCCACACACCACCAGCACTGACAGACTGAACTGTGCTCACTGTACCTTAACTTAGCAGCTAGCCACTGAGAGAGTGTAGCTCCAGACGACTTCCTTCAGGACCCACTATGGACTGTTCTCTATTTTTTACTTCTCGTTCATATGTCTTTGTTGAGTCACAGAGAATTCTGTTTGCTTTGTTTGACTGCGATGAAGTTAAGTTTTTCCATAGGACTCCACACAGTAGGATGGTAGCCTGGCAGTACATAACAATAGGAAGCAATATTTACATTTGTTCAATAAGGTAGCATTGTGACAGGAAGGTACCGTTAAAAAAGACATGGCTTGAGTTTAACCTCTAAACTATAGTAATGTTAAATGAATTCTTCTTCACTGAACATTTCAATCAACTCTGCTACTTGAGTGTTTTATAAGTTTAAAGGATATTTGCATTATTTTATTTTTTTCCTGCTGCCGTTAGTGCCTGCAATACGGAGCCTGACGGGTATCAAAGCTAAAAGTTTGGATTCATTTGTACCCTCGTTTGTAGAATCTGTAAATGACTCATTTTTGCCTTCAAATTCTTATTGCTATTATTGTGGCCCTTCCACACTCATAATTAATCATTTGTGTGCCCAGATTATTAATTTGAGGGGTTGGTTTACTAAATAGTTTGCTGGAATTATCTTAAATGTTGCACTAGGACTGGGCAATAAATCAATGAATTCAAATGTATGTTTTTAAGACAAGACAATAAATTTAGATTTAAGCTAGGAATGTTACAATGTGGGGATGTACAGCTGCTGAGGACTGTAAAACAAGCCCCAATCCACTCTGGTCACTCATCTACACAGAACATGTAGAATTATTTCTCCATAGTATTCCATATGAGAAGAAGGTAACCCTAGTGATAAGACATTACGGTGGTGTTTCATGTCGCCTTGTCTTTTGTGGTTTGTTTTTAGGAAAAATAAAATATTTTTAGGCCATGTCACCCAGGCGGGGAAAATAATTCACTGATTAATTCAATCTTTCTTTAATTCAACAAAGATTGAATTAATCAGTGAATTATTTTCTCAAACAATCGACTGCACACAGGAGAAGTTGTAATCAGTAAATCTTGCTTGGAAAATGACTAAAACAATAATTGTCTGTCAACTGACTAAACGATTAATCGTCTTACTGTTTCCATTCTAGAAATGCTACCCCTGATACCTGCCAGGCTCCATGTTCTGAGGAGGCTGGACTAAAGTTCTGCCATGCTAGTTTGATTGAAAAACAACTTTATTTAGGAGCATGCACCGTGTGAACGTACTATAAAAAAGAAAATAATTAAAGCTGCAGTAGGTAACTTTCATAAAAATCTTTTTTCATTATTGCTGAAACCTTCACTATATCCTGACAGTAGCACATGAGACAGACCAGGCCTGAACGGAAACAACCAATCAGAGCCCAGAAAGATTCCCAGGGCATCAAATACAGACAGTTTAGGGCACTGGGAATGAGACTCAACAATCAACTAAGCCTCCAACCCAAAGTTTCTTTCTGTCTTTCTTGATTCTGATTGGTTGTTTCTGTTCAGGCCTAGTTGATTCTTTCAAATGTCATTAAGATCTGTCTCATGTACTACTGTCAGAACACTGAAGATTTCAGCAATAATGACAAAAAGTTACTTTTATGAAAGTTACCTACTGCAGCTTTAAGGCCTTAAAGCCAGAGTTGTCATAAGGCTCTACAAGGCCACAACATTACAGGATAATGCAGCGGCTGTAAAACGGTGGACTGCAGCTGATACTGCAGCTCTGTATAGTACATTAGTGGTTCGAAATATCCATTTACAAGTAACCAAATGACCAAAAAGCATTGGAAACACTGGTTTGTAAGGCCACTGGCTATTCCCTGGTTGGTAATTAGGCCTTGCTGTCTGGTACTGCCAAATTTGAGATCCAAACCTTTTTGCTTAATGTCATGGATTACTGTTAGCTGTTTCTTTTGCTCCTCCCACTAGGCATTGCATGTCTACTTTCAGCATAGATGATTTGCACAATCAGAGAAAGATATTTCTCAATAAATGACAAAACCAACACAAGCTCCATCCTAACACAAAGAAAACGGTCCTGTATCCAACCTGTAAGGTACTGAATGGGTCAGGTAGTGGGGCTGTAGGCTGGACCCATCAATGACCTCTTCAGCGCTCAGCCCCATTTACTTACAGAAAATGACATCAGAGTTTACAAAGCTACTCTTTACAGGCAGAAATCAGAAAACAAAATTGCACTGGCACTATCCTTGAATTAAAGAAATACTTCACCCAGACAGTTGGAGTCGGCGAGCTACTTGCCTGTGACAGCAGCTGGAATGATGGACAAAATGTCCTCATTCATGGAAAATAAAAAGTAGCGGCCAATTTCATGAAATACGAAGTTACAGGGAGATTATTTGCAAACAAAAACACTTCCAAGTACTGGGTTAGGTTTTAAGTCTTTCTATGCTAGTTCAGGGACGATACCAGAGTTTCTGTTCTGGCGCTTTTGCGCCAAGTATTGAGTACTGTCTGCATTTTGAGGTGGATATCAATATTTTTAGAAAATGTTCAATAAGGATTGGTTGAGGAAGGCATTAACTAGTGACCTGCAACAGGCTAATCTTATTTCCTATCTATCTCTTTTATAAGGTCCATTCACTAGCTTTTCCCAGGGCTTTCAACTGCAGTTTGAAGCTCTGAAAAAGCTAGTTAGTGGCCTTTGAGTAGAGATGGGAATTCATAAGATTTTTGATACCAATGCCGTTATCGATTCTGCTTATCGCTCCAGTTCTTCCTTGATTCCTGATCAATTTTCTGTGTGGAAAAAACTGAACACAGTGTAGAAACAGAGTAAAGCAAATGCATACATGTGATTCAGGTGTGAAAAAAAAAAAGCTCCACTGTTAACCCTTTCATTCACGTTTTCTTAGTCAAAAATAATCTGCTAAACCTGCAGATTACCAGCAGTACAGACACTGGAGTTTGACGTCACTGTTTTGCGCAATGGTCAGAAAAACGTGCTGGCATTGATAAAGGAATTGATCATCTCATACGCTCCTATCCCTACCTTTGAGTTGAGATTATCCTGTAATACATACATTTGAAATTCTAAAAAATGTGACCAAGATACATATTGAGTGGACACGGATGTGTTACAATGTAAAGATAGATTTGCCACAGTTTGATACAGTTTTGGACATACTGAGCATAAAAGTGGAATAATGTCAGAAACTGGTCACACTGGCCAGTAGTAACTTTTCCCCAGCATTCCAGACTATATGGTTATAATAAATGGATACAAAACTAATAATACATGGGCGAAGTATTTCTTTGATTGGGAGCGATGCCATTTAAACCACTGATTATGCCTCCTCTTTACCTGTAACTATGAACTGCATTCCTTTAGGTTTAATGTGGTAGAAGTGAATATAGCTTTTACATGTTGTTTTTACCAGCCTATTTATTAAGGTGCTTTGAAAAAGTAACCTCTGCATTACAGACTGGAGTGTGCGGTAGTACTGGGGAGGTCGAGGTCGATGATGTATGTTCTATTTTTTCTACGGTATATAGATGAATTTTAAAGAACCCATTCAGATTTTTAACGCGCTTTGTCTACCCAGTTGTTTCCTAACTCTTCTACTGAAAGTTGTGCGTTGCACTATTATTTAAGTCCAGTTTGCGAGGACATTTGAATAGTTGTGTGCTGCCATTGCTAATTTGTTAAAAACCTGTTTTAGAATGTTAATTGTACATTTATAAAAATGTCTTACGGATTGTGTGCCCCTCCCTCTTGGCCGAGCTCACTGATCACGCTGCACTGGAACAAGGAGGCCCTTTAGATGCCTGTCAACTTGTTCTTGCTGTGGTGTGAGACTGCAGACAGAGGAATGCCAGTTCAGACACCCTGCTTTCATCAGTCCAGTGGAGGATGAATTTATTTTATTCATAAAGTATCAATAGAGTTGTACATGGGGAGGGGGGATTTTCTATTCTATTTTATTGCTTTGTTTTGTAAAACATGTTCTATGTGTATTTTCACAGAGACCTGTGGAGTAAATGTCATGTAGTCTATTTTAAGATGTTGCCTGTTGAACCAGGAGACGGGCTGTCTGTTCTTGTTGTCTCCTCCTGAAGAGATATAACTGAACTTCCAGATTATCATTCAAGCATTTTGTAAAATTCATTTGTTTGTTTCAGTAAAGAAATCTGCTTCAGCGCTATTCGCCTGTCTTCTTTCACTCACTTCTTATTAATATTTATTTTAGGGCTGTGGCTGTGGCTCAGAGGTACAGCGGGTCGCCCACTAATCGGAAGGTTAGCTTTTCTCACTGCATGTCGAAGTGTACTTGAGCAAGACACTGATGTTCATACACATGAGTGTGTATGAATGATTAGTTTCCGTTCTGGACAACAAGAAAGGCGCTATATAAGTACAGTCCATTTACCATTTCAACCTTTTACCACTGATTGTGGAATTTACGAACGGTGTTGGGCTAGTTAATCAAAAACGAATTTATTAATCCTTACTCTTAAAAAGTATTATCACTATATTACTTCCTGCCAACAGTAATATAACTTTTCTGCTACTCCCCACGAAATTAGTAACTCTGTCTCTTCTCCCCAAAATTCAGACTTACGACGATTTAAAATCCAGTTTTGTTTGTTAAAATAAAATGAATGGAATATTTCCAGCTGTTCCAGCAATGTTACTAATCATTTTTTGGAGGGTAACTATATTATCACTTTTGGCACGGATTGAATAACTTGAATGCGTTTGGGAGAGAGGGATTTGCCCTCAGCTGTGATCACATGTCCCAGATATATTACACATGTATGAGCAAACTGCAGTTGAGACAGGCTAGTCTTATGCTCATTGTAGGCTAAATGTTTTATATACGTATATACAGCTATATACAGCTTTATACAGATGTGATTGATATGGAAGATTGCACAGGTTACAGCAGGAGGTAGCAGCATGGTGTAAAAATAAATATTTGCACAAAACGAAACAAAAAAGATATATATACACACACACACACAGCAGTAACTTAGTGGAAAATAAAATCTATATATGTATATCTAAATATGTATGTGAACTGAATACAATGATGTCACATTTGCATGCTTCTTGTGATGGGCTACAGATCATATCGAGGAGAAATTTGTGACATCGAGCAGAATTAATTGTATATTTGTGTGAAACTTGAGGCACACATGGATGCACCAAAGCATTTACTGCTTGTAGGTCTTGACCAAAATGCCACTTGGTTGGTTGACCTTCGTCACAGATTTTCTTCATGGAAAAATTGGGCGTGCGGACAGGAGACTCATTGCAGGGAACAATGACTCCAGCCTGTAACAATGATTCAAAAACATATGAAATACCTTCGAGCTGCTTCTTGTTTGAGTGGGAATTGCTTCATGCAGGGGCGGAAATCCGGAATTTTTTTTTAAACAAGCTTTCTACTTCCTGACCTTCCCTCTGCCATACTTCCTCAAACCTTCAGTCAAGCCCTACAGACACAAATGCTGTGCAGTGTAATGAGTCTGTGTGCATGTAGCTTGAGGCATGTGTACTGTGTGTATGTGCAAACGTGGTAAGTTGTGATGCTATAGAAGAAAACTGATTGTGTCAAGAGCCTGCTCATAAGAACACATCAGTGTCAGGGCAGTATTTCATCATTTGTGGGTTCAAAGGCAGGCTGGTTATTTTTAACCATAGGAACCCTGTTGTCCATCCCCTGCCTCGCCCTCTGTTCTGGCCGCCTCTTTGTGCTTCGAGAGCTTGGTACATGGTCAGTTGAGTGTCATGCAGTTTCTTTGATGGCTTTCTTTGCTTTGCTGTCAGTTTAAAGTTAATAATAAGAAGAAAAATAAATCTTCAAACAGAGGCTTGACTCGTTTTGTAGTATTTTATCAAACATGTTATTAATGATGTTCAGACAGATGTCCATCATGACTAAGCAGCTGTCTGTTTTTATCTCCTTACTTCCAAGTGTTGACAGTGGACTAGTTGCTGTTCACTAGCAAGGACCATGCCACAACAATATTTTATTTAAAGGTTTTTATAGAAATTCAGGAGATCAAAGACATTTTTATTTCTTAGTTTGCTCTGCGAAGATGTGCTGAGGGCTGGGCAGAGGGAGACTCAGTGTTGAGGTTCCATCTCTGCCGAGCTGCTTACAGGCCCCACAGACAGTACACCTGGGATGAGATGGAAGAGGTATGTCGCTGATTGAATAGGAAGGGATGAGGGGGGAGAGGGTGGAGGGGTAGGGATGAGATGAATGATGAAGGGAAGGGATGAGTGGAGAGAACTGAGGCAAACAGGGCAGGAAGGGTTTGACCAGGTATAAGTAGCTTGTCAGGTGATTATAGGTGTGGTTGAGGCGTGGCCCTGCTCCCGAACCTAAATTAATTATTCAACTTCATCTCTGTGCGTGCAAGAGGACAGACAGGGTGATGCGGCCAGAAGAAAGAAAGCGATAAAGACGCTTTGGGTTGGAGACATTAAGATAGTTGATTGTTGAGTCTCATTCCCAGCACCATTTCACACCCTGGGAATGAGACTCAATCATCTCTCTTTCTCGGCTCCGATTGGTTGTTTTCCTTCAGGCCCGTGGATTCTTGTAAATACCATTAGAAGCACTAGGAGGAACCTGAGGAACTTTACTTTTTCACAGATTATCTGTCTCATGTGCTACTGTCAGGATATAGTGAAAGTTTCAGTATAAGTAATCTTTATTAAAATGATCTATTGCAGCTTTAAGCTGTGCTGTGCAAGAAAGGGGTGAAATTGTATTGTAATGACAGGTCATGATATGTGGAATATGTAACATGAATAGAAAGAGCAATATTTTAATCACAAGAATCTAATTGTTGTTAGTCATTTTCCAATTCATTAAAATAGTCCGACAGGATACCAGCCCCCTCATCGGTTATACAAAAAACAAACCTAAACATTTTATTTGTTGGCTGCAAAATGAATAAAATTATTTAAGAAAAAGCTGAATTTTTTTTAAATTAGGCAAATCACTTGTATACCGTTTTTTTCTGTTGCAATTCATTATTCTTGAAATACTATAGACCCTCTCTACCAAGTGTCTACATTTCCCGAAATGCTTAACATACAGGTGCATCTCAATAAATTAGAATATCATGGTAAAGTTAATTTATTTCAGTAATTCAATTCTAAAAGTGAAACTCATATATTCTATAGATTCATTACACACAGAGTAAAATATTTCAAGCCTTTATTTCTTTTAATTTTGATGATTATGGCTTACAGCTAATGAAAACCCAAAACTCAGTATCTCAGAAAATTTGAATATTAGTAATAGTTCAATATTGTAGACTCAGTTAATTAACTCAAAACACCTGCAAAGGTTTCCTGAGCCTTTAACGGTTTCTCAGTCTGGGTCAGTAGGCTACACAATCATGGGGAAGACTGCTGACTTGACAGATGTCCAGAAGACAGACATTGCCACCCTCCACAAGGAGGGTAAGCCACAAGAGGTCATTGCTAAAGAAGCTGGCTGTTCAGAGTGCTGTATCCAAGCATATTCATAGAAAGTTAAGTGGAAGGAAAAAGTGTGGTAGAAAAAGGTGCACCAGCAACAGGGATAACCTTGAGAGGATCGTGAAGCAACACCCATTCAAGAATTCGGGGGAGATTTAAAAGGAGTGGACTGAGGCTGGAGTCAGTGCATCAAGAGCCACTATGCACAGACGTATCCAGGACATGAGCTACAACTGTCGCATGAACCGGAGACAACGTCAGAAGCGTCTTACCTGGGCTGAGGAGAAAAAGAACTGGACTGTTGCTCAGTGGTTCAAAGTCCTCTTTTCAGATGAAAGTGAAGTTTGCGTTTCATTTGGAAATCAAGGTCCCAGAGTCTGGAGGAAGAGTGGAGAGGCACAGAATCCACGTTGCTTTTAGTCCAGTGTGAAGTTTCCACACTCAGTGATCATTTGGGGAGCCATGTCATCTGCTGGTGTTGGTCCACTGTGTTTTATAAGTCCAAAGTCAACACAGCCATCTCCCAGGACATTTTAGAGCACTCCATGCTTCCTTCTGCTGACAAGCTTCATGGAGACGCTGATTTCATTTTCCAGCAGGACACACTGCCAAAGGTACCAAAAAGCTGGTTCAATCAGCAAACTCGCCTGACCTGAACCCCATAGAGAATCTAGGGGCTATTGTCAAGAGAATGATGAGAGACACCAGACCCAACAATGCAGATGACCTGAAGACTGCTATCAAAGCAACATGGACTTCCATAACACCTCAGCAGTGCCACAGGCTGATCACCTCCATGCCACGCTGCATTGATGCAGTAATTCATGCAAAAGTATTGATCGATATATATATATGAACATACTTTTGAGTAAGCCGACATTTCTGTATTAAAATGAATTGGTCTTATGAAATAGTTCTAATTTTCTGAGGTACTGAATTTTGGGTTTTCGCTGTAAGCCAAATCATCTAAATTAAAAGAAATAAAGGCTTGAAATATTTCACTCTGAGTGTAATGAATCTATAGAATATGAGTTTCACCTTTTGAAATGAATTTCTGAAATAAATGAACTTTGTCATGCTATTCTAGTTTATTGAGCTGCACCTGTAATTAAATAGCTAGACTTTGGAATGGAGTTTGGCGTGGCGTTCTCTCCTATAGAGCTGGACGGAGCCGGTCCCGGTCCCCCAGCGGAGCAGCCTGCCTGGAGCGTGTACGCAGGGGCGGGGGGGGGAACACCGAGCCTTCCCCTCACGTGTGCTGATAGAATGCAGAGCTAGTTATGACTATTGGGGTGTTTTCTTATAACGTTAATGTTGCTCAATGCATATCAGCAGCTTGGTGGCAAAAGCGGGGGCAGGAAGCACCGACGACTCTGAGGTCAACTTGAAAATTAACGGTATCCGTCCGGTAAGACTCTATGAATGGCTTGCTCGTTAGCGTAGCCAGCTAGTCCGGCGCTTTAGCTAACGTTACTTGTTTGATTACATGTAGCCAGTTCTCATGATAGCCCTGTTGTTCTTTGTGTACCATTACATGTACTGTCACAACCGGCCTGAGGGCTAGCGGTGGTTGTTAAGGTAGCTACTGTAGCTAATATGCTATCACATAACGTTAAACATGGTTAATGAGCTAGCTGCTAGCTGCAATAACGTCACTGGAAGTTTCTTGATTTCGGTGTTCCATTCCTTCTTTCCCACTGCTTCTCTAACGACACACCGTTTAGCTCCAGTAACCCCCCACTTAACAATACTCCACGTAAGTTTAGTGTTGCTAAATGAAATGAACTAACCTCACGTTAATGGTTAAGCCCATTTCTCCCACTAATATACCACTTGTGGCCCCTTCCTTCAAACACATCATCACATTTATTAACATTATAAACCATGGGCGGATCTAAAGCGGTGGCATGTGGTGGGAGCTGCCCCCCTAAACAATGCCTGGCAACCCCAGTTTGCTGTCAGATGCAAACACATTCATTTTTATTACAGTTGTTCTCCATTGGTTTGGCTCATTTCTTGAAACAGAAATTACATTCTCAAAACAACATGGACGAACCTCCGAACCACTTGGCAATTGTTCACAACAGAATTGTATTTCTCATTGATTTCATCACATTGCAAATGTCTTAGTACATCTTTGTAAATGATTAAGTACAGTTAGACTACAGTAAGCAAGTGAATAGATGCTGTTGATCTAAACTGATTGAGTGATTCTCAGTCTAATGGTTGTTCTCTCCAAAACATGTCAGCATCATTTCATTCTATAAGTCATCACATGCACAATAGTCTGTTCAGTGGTCAGAATGAGTCAACATAATCATATCAACATAATACCATGAATACCATATAGTGTATTTATTTACAGCACTCTAGGCTACATATAATTTTCCTTGTTTTTGTTTATGTGTTTATATAACAGTATATTATGCTTTATACATTTTCTTTTTACTCTGATATGGAGGTTACTTTATGTGTGTGAATAAAAATGGCTACCTTTCCTCGGCAGTGTGAGTGCAATGTGTGATGTCAAACCTTAGAGGCTACTCTTCCCCTAAAATCCTGTTTTTTTTTTGTTTGTTTTTTTCAGTTTTATACACAATTGTATTCTGTTAGCTAGACAAAAACGCTAGTACAGTAAGCATTGTGAATGAAGGACTGGGCTGAGACTGAGAGGTGGGACATGAGGGATATGGTCCTCTGCCATAGTGACAAAACATCGAAACATTTTGACTTGCAGTGCTCACACGATGCCAAAGGGACGATGCATTTTGGAGGTACTGACTATTTATATGAGAAAGAAATTTAGTTTTGAAGCATGAGAATGAGACTGTTTTGGGAGAGATATGCGCTTTTGCAAGTGAACTATGGTGTTGTGGTGAACTGTAAGACTGTTTTGCCAAATGATCTTAGAGTTTTGAGAATGTAATTTCTGTTTCGAGAAATGAGCCAAACCAATGGAGAAAAACTGTAATTAAAAAAAATTGTCTGTTAAAATACTTCAATTCATTTGATCATAGGTTATGGCCACATTTTAGACTAAGCTAAATGGGAACATTTAAACCATTGGTTATGTAGGGGTACTGCAGCCTGTGGAGAACATTCTTTATGAACAATGTGATAAGAAGCATGGGCACCTAGTTATAGTTCATATTTGTGGTGCAAGACTTTGGCAGGAACATTTTCATTTCAGAGAGAGTATGCTTTTATTTATTTTAAAGGAGACAGAGGTCACATGAAAAAAACAAGATGAAGAACTAATAAAACATTTGCACATCAACCGTACAATTATTAACCATCTCTTCTAATCATCCAGTAAATTAAAATACAGTGTTTAAATTGAGTGTTTCCTGACGAGAGTTCCTAATATTTTGTCCTGCCCCTCAGGTGGACAAAATATGTATATGCTTTGTAAAAGTAGAATTTATTTATTAGATTGCACAGGATTGGGGCGGCTGTGGCTCAGAGGTAGAGCGGGTTGTCCACTAATTGGATGGTTGGCGGTTTGATCCCCGGCTCCTCTCACTCCATGTTGAAGTGTCCTTGAGCAAGACACTGAACCCCAAATTGCTCCCGATGCTGTGCCATCAGTGTATGAATGTGTGTGAATGGGGCATGTAGTGTACACTGAGTGGTGGAAAGACTAGAAAGGCGCTATATAAGTACAGTCCATTTACCATTTACAGGTATTCCTAAGTTCTTTGTGAGTGTTTCACTGTGGAAGGTACAGTTAGGGACGGACACATCAAATAAAAAGCTGCTTAGCTGGACTGAGGTCAGGTAAATAGTCATTGTTTTATTTCAAATCAAACAATCAATCACTAGCTGCTGATTTCCCCCTGGCTGTTTCTGGGTTATCCTGGTGCAGACACAGTGTGAGTTTATGCGTCAGTCACCCATGGAGGCCCCACACCTGTCCAATAGGAACACATGACATTTATTGTATTATTTAGAACATTTGTTTACTTTGTAAACAAAAAGTTGCGTAATTCATTTGGCATATAGCCAATTAGATCCGCTCCTAATGACTGAATTCATTCCTACAATTGCCATAACCAGTATCACATTCAGTTTCTCACATTTATACCTAAGCGGGTAACATTCAATTTTGTAGTGAAGTCTACATCGCTGTATGTTGAGCTAGCGGACGTTGACCTCCAAATACAGACATATAGCTAATTGTAGAGCTGCAACAATTAGTTGCTTAATTGATAAGTCAATTGAAAGAAAATGTGTCAGCTATTTGGATAATCGATTAATTGTTTCAGGAAGAAATTTCAAAAATGTTTTACAGCTTTAACTTTTTTAATATTTGTCATTTATTTATGAATTGATTAAGCATAGTTAATGTAGTTGGAGCTTATAATGTGAACATGACACATGACGGGGGTCAGGTGTCAGGAAACGCCAGCGCTTGAATCTGATACTTCTGTTGACTGCTGCAGTCTCGGGCGTTTGGCCTCTGTGGCAGTGTGTATCATGTAATGACATGCGGCTAACCACTTTATTTCCTGCTCAAACAGGATCCACTGTACGATGTGCCATGTACGCTAGTTGGAAATGAGAATGAAAGCCAGTCGCAACCTCCTCCTGTGCCTCTGCTCCATGCTGGCCCTGGGGTTTCTCTACTACTCGTCAGGGAGGATCAGCCTACGAGGCTGGGGATACAAATCATGTGAGTCTATGAAGCGGGCTTAATGTAATGTACAGTATGACCTTCATTCAGTTACAACCGGATAAAGCTGGGTGCGTATTTAGTTTGAAACTCAAACTACTGTCTGTTGGTAGGATAAACTGTATGACACTTCACAGTGGTTTTACAAGATACAAAGTGGAACTGACTTGCAGTGATCTTTTTGGCATCAAGTCAAATTCTCCTATCTCCATGCATATGGTGTATTAATGATCACATTAACATCCTGGCTTTAAGTGTTTCACCTAGTCTAGGCCAGGCTTTGTTTAACCGACTACTTATTCATTACTCGCAGCTTTAATATCACAGGCCTCTATATATAGTCTTCATAAACACAATATAACAGTAACATAATCACATGAATAATTCTAAAAATAATAGTGGTCACAATGTTAAAATAACAGTACTTCACTGAATGGTGATATGTAATCCTATTTGTGGTATTTGCATGCAGTTCAATAAAAACAATGCAAATGCATACATATGGACATAAAATAACAAAACACATTGGTTTCCGACCGAGTGACCGATAACTGAAGCGATAAAGCTCCTAGGTAACTTGTGTGGTGGTCTTTCATGAAACCGAGTCATTGGATGTTTTGTGAAACAGCCTCCAGGGTTCACCCTCATCACTAGCTGATGGTAAACAAAACTGTTAACTCTTCCCCATTTTTGAGAAGCTGTAGTGTTAATGTTCTGAGAAAGTGTAGGTCACACTGGACAGCATTTTTTTGTAAAACGATTGATAGGCTTTTTTTAAAGCTAAATATGTTTATGTTTGGATTGTCTTTACTAGAGCTATGGAATATTAAATCATCCATCTTTGCTCACTGCCATTTCTTGGCATTACGTGTGCATAAACTCCAGGTTATAAACCTCTTTTACAATGTGGAATTATCAGTTATCTTATTGGTATTGGCCATGAGAAGCAGGAAATTATTGTATCGACTAAAAGAATATCCATATTGTGCATTCCTACTGTACTTCTTTTATATTTTCAGTGTGTAGGGTTTTGCTGGGATGATGTATTTTTGTTGGCAAACCCGGAAGTTAGCATCGTCCAAAAGCCAATGGGATTTCTCCACGGGATATTGGATTGTCGCAAACATAGCTTAGAAACACAACAAGGCTTTAAAGGGAAACTAGTGAGATGGCTCTCTGTGTTCAGTGTATTGATGTTTAAAGTCCCCCACAACCTCTGTAGCAGGGTGGGAATTACACAGTAGCTATTCTGCTGTGCACCTCTACTGAACATGCCGTAGTATACGTGGAAGTTCGTGGCAGCCAGGTCAATTGCAGGGTTACTGCAAAAAACCCTCATCAAACAATGAGCCAATAAACATGCAGCACTGACAAACATTTATGATTTATTTCAAGACCTTTTCGTTCAGAAAATAAAATATAATCTGTGACACAAAAATGGATGCCTATTTTTAAGAGCTCTGCCTGAATATCTCTAAGTAAGCTTTCAGTGGAGCCCAGCTTTTAGCCACTCGTTAGCAACTGCCTTTTTTAAGACACGTCAAAGCTTCAAAATATTAATATTAAATATATTATATATTAAATATGTATTTTATGTCGTAACAAAATGTGAAAACCTCTTAAGCTTGTGTTAACCACAGACGTTATTCCAAAAACCCACTGACTTTGAGGAGAGGTGGGGGAGGCTCTGGACCCCCTTCAGTTTGCATATAGGGCTGGGATGAGAATAGAGGATGCATTGATCACCTTACTCAGCTCTATGCACAAACCCCTAGAAGGTCCTGCCACACATGCCAGACTTTAATTTTTAGATATTTCATATGTTTCAGTTAAGAAACTGCTTTGTGATTTTTATCTTGATGTAAATGTGGTGGGCTGGATTGTAGACTTTTTATCATGTAGGTCTCAGAAGGTGAGAGTAAATGGCTTTCTGTCAGAACAGCGCTCCTCTTCCACTGGCTGTCCTCAGGGCTGTGACTGGTCCCCCTTGCTTTACATTCTCTACACCAATGACTGTAGAAGCCAACATGAGGACAGGCACATCCTGAAATTTGACACAGTTATCATCAGTCTGCTCAATAAAGATGAATCTGAGCATGTGCCGGTGGTAGATGACTTTGTTAAATGTTGTGATGAGGCCTTTCTTAAATTAAACGTTACAAAGACCAAAGATATGGTCATTGATTTCAGAAGGAAATCATCCCACCCACCATCTCACACCTTCACCAAAGGAATTGGCATTGGAATTGTAGTACAAACAGTAAAAATATCTTAGAACAGTCATCAATAAAAACTTGCAATGTGATGTTAAATTCTGATGCAGTCGGTAGGAAGGGACAGTAATGTTTGTACTTCCTCAGGAAGTTTAATGTTTTTAATGTGGACAGGAAAATGTTGTGCTTGTTTAATAAGTTGTTTGTTGAATCTGTTCTCACTTTTTCTGTGCTGCTTGGTACAGTAACCTGAACGTAAAGGATAAAACCCACCTGAACCACAAGGTGATGGGTGTCTCCCAAACCCCCCTGATGGCTATCTTTGACCACAGTCCAGATCCATACTGGACTGTACAAACCACTCCCTTATCTTGAGTCTTTATCTTGTCTTCCCTCAGGCCGTAGATTTAGAGTACCAAGTGCAATAGGAGTAAAAACTTTATTCCTTGTGCAATATCCCTGCTTAATATGCACATGTAATTTTAAATGTTCTCAGTATTAATTTGCACATTTAATTTCAAAAATCCTATTTTAGCACCTTGCACATGAAATGATCCATCTTTTTGTCACATTCCTGCGGCTCTCTATTGCAAGACTAAAGCTACAGTGGGTAGTTTTTATTCAAATATATCATACAATATATCAAAGTACATGAGACAGATAATCTGTGAAAAAATTATTCATTTTAAATGTTAAAAGTATTGTTAAAGTCTAAACTGTGTTTTGAGCCTAACAAGCCAGAGTTCTGTTACATAATTCTAGCTGTGCATACTGTAATGGTTTTATTGTGTACACTTCCACATCTTTAATGTGTGTCTGAGAAATGAATGTGGATGACAGACTCAGATAATGGATGTTTTGGGATGTGTCTGTTGAGGGAAAGGACCTGCAGATGCTATCCAGCTTTTTTACCAGATGGTGGAGCCAGTCCATTTACTTAGAGAAAAGCATATTTCCTTGGTAGTTTTAGTTTGATCATACTTTTACTCTTCACTGCCTCCTCGCTGCCTCAAAGTAGAAAAGCATTGGACATTCATAATCTGGGCTCTGGGCTGCGAAGTGAATGGTTCATGCCTTAATTATTATTTATTATTTATTATTATTATTATTATTATTATTATTGTTATTATTATTATTATATATTATTATTCAGAAAGCATCCAGTTAAGAAACACTGACGAGGAGAATGGAGGGGCTGGTATTCATACTGGGAATTGGCCTGAATTTGAGGTCTAAATATTCCCTTGACACCATTAAGAAACTTAGTGCCTCATGTTGTACACATTATTTGCTATATTACTGTCAACTTAACTTTTTCAGTTTTACAGATCTGTTTCTTCTCCTAGTGCAAAAAATAAAGCCACACTGTCTTACAATGGCTAAGTGCAATATGTAAATCCCAGAAGCTGCAGTTTGTTTGATAGAGGTAAAATGTGTGACAAACAGCATTATAATGAAATACTGAAGTGCTGCAGAGAGCCTGGCCTACAAATGGTATTCTCGGGATTTAAGAAAACATGTTTGTTCGGTACAGACCCCAACAAATATTACATCATCATGACTTAATTGTTAATCCTATTGCAATGGCAATATCTGTCAAATCGGAATATAATGTTTTTACCATATTTTGCAGCCCTACATTTCAATAAATGAGACTTCTTTTAAATCAATAATTATATGAATAAATAGCCTAGTATGAAAGGTTAATTCATCCTGTTTATTTTCACAATAGCATTTTTTAAATTTCATTCCAGCAGTTTCTTTTCTTTTTCCAAAGGCTGTTATTTCATGTTATTTTTGCAAAGATTCTTTTTTTAATTTCATCTTGCCACTTTCCGTCACACAGTCTTTGTCTTTTAAAGGACCAGTGTGTAGGATTTAGTGGCATCTAGTGGTGAAGTTGCAGATTGCAACTAACTGAACAACGCTCACGTCTGTATTTGACCGCCTGGGAATAAGAAGGGGATGTTTGTGTGTGTGTAGGAGAAACTACGGTGGCCACGAAAAACGCAAAAGACCCTATTGACAGCCAGTGTTTGGTTTGTCCCTTCTGGGCTACTGTAGAAACAGGGCAGACGTAGAAGAGGACCTGCTCCCTCTGTAGATAGTGGCTCATCAATGAGTGGAGGAGGGGGAGCTTGTTTGGGTACAGATAGATAACAGCTCAAGTTAACAAAAACATAATGATTCTTACAATGCTGTTTATACACTAATGAAAACATAATTATTATTATTATTATTTCATTATTATTGTTAATATATTATTGTTATTTATGTTCTATATTAAACAGGGCAGAGCAAGTTGGATAACTATCTGTCAGAGACTAAAGAACGCTTTGGGTCTCCATACAAAAAGTGCAAGGTTTGATTGTGTTGAACTGATACAGTGCCACAGTATCTGATATGCTGTATACATTTTCCCAGACTGAATATTTAACCTTTTCAGAATGTTATGAGGTGTGAAGTCTTAATTTAAGAAATAAAACAAAGTTGTATATCCACCCTTCCATGGGTGTTGAATTCACAAACGACAGTCTGTAAGCTTGGTGTAAATTTCCAAACCCATCAGCCAAAGTAAAATAAACACTTTGATAACACAGGCTATCCATCCTGCACCCTAATATCCAGCCAGAGTCAATTGAGACACCTTATTTTGTCATATTTATTTTTGTAATTTCTCTGTAAAAGAATATCCTTTTTTCACCCAATTTTTACATGTATTAAAGAAAATAGCGTTTTTGCCTCGGGGACATCAGCATTTGCTAGCAATTTGGGAGATGGTTGGAT